AGCAAAGGCTCGTAAATCCAGGATTAACGTTACCAGTAAAAGTTGATGAACACCTGATATGAACCGCTATGGCTGGGACTTTGACTCATGAGAAGGTAGTCAAATTCCCGGCTCTCTGAATCCTACAAAATCGAGAAATAAAAATACAAAACAAACAGAACAAGGGGTCCTTTCACTGAAAGATTGGCAATTCCTTTGAAAACCTGTTTCTTTTGGAGAGGATTTCTACTCGAAATCAGGAGCCCAAATACTTCGAATAGGTTGCGGGGGTACTTAACAACCAAGCAAGTCGTGATCGCAAGATAATGTTTGTAAATGTAATATTTGTCTCTTTGCATTACCAAAAACGCCGACCCTTTGGTGAGGATTTTTCAGAGTTCTGTTTCCCATTGCAGGGTGGTTTTAAACATCACCAATTGGGCCCTCTTAAAGTTTCCTGTGGGGGTGATGTTCAAAGCCCAAATCTTGGGCATTCGGTGTTTCCAAGCATGTCGACCCCGGATGTCTTGCCTGGGTCGCAACCACAGCGTATCAACCTTTGGGACCTTTGCACGGACCCATTTGTGGGATTCCAGGTTTAGTCAAGGTGAAACAATGGCTTCCCTTTTGTTTCCTTTGGGGCCCCTAGGGCACCAGGCATGAGAATAGCCCTCGCCATCGTTTTCGGGCAATAGGGCCGTGGGGAAGATGACACAAAGTCGCAATGTCGACTGCTTGAATTAGAACGTGGTGGATTCATAGGAGGCCCCTTGCAACGGTCCCCTAAAGAACTCCGCCAGCTTTCCCTCACGTCACTTTTTGTTTGACGCCGTGTGTATCTAAGTCAGAAGCCGTTGGTGTGTTAGCCAATCACTCAGGTGACTTTGATAGTGGCAATGTTTTAGGGCCTGCTTTTCCATAGTGTGGCTTGGTCAAAATGTCCCGTCTGTCCATCTGGGAAGAAAGACATGAAGCAGCTCACTAAATGTCCCACAGAAACGGGGGGGGTGAGCCCGAATTGTTGCAATGTCGTTGGGGGGGAGGACATTTGTGATATGACCCTGCCTCATGTTTTGGTACGTGGGTGCATAACATTCGGGGTTGGTAAGTGCAGCAGCTCCTTAAAGTCTGGTGTCATGTGTGGTGACTGATTTTGAGAAAGGCAGACTTATCTTCCCCCCCCCCCCCCTAGCCTTTTGCCGTTTTGGCTTTCCCTCTCTGTCCCTTTCAACCAACCAGAAGTTGAATCACTTTGTGCCAGGGCTCCAGATGTTCATTCCTGATGCTTTCGTGGAAAGGTAGGGACATGCTCAGCCCTAAGTCCGTTGTCTTTTGCTCGGCCCAGTCAGTAAGTTCTCAAGTTCTCCGAGTGGAGTTCACCCAAGGCCTTGGGTCATAGATGACCCTGGCGGCCTTTTCCACTTGGCCAGGAACACCCCACCGTGGCCCGCAAGCGCGCAGCCCGGCTGAGGCCGGGACGACTGGATGGTGCCCTCCTGGATGCGCTTCAGCGAGCCCGAGAAATCCGAGGACTTTCAAGACTTCGCTTCGGTGGCTTGGTTGGACTTGTTCTGAAAGGAAGGGGCTGAAAGGAAGGAGGGGTTTCGTTGGTTGGTTGGTTGGTTGGTTGGTTGGTTGGTTGGTTGGTTGGTTGGGTGGGTGGGTGGGTGGGTGGGTTGGTGCGTGCTCTTTGGGTGGTTCATCATTGACACCTTGCTTGCTGCGAACGTTTTGACGTCGACATTTGAGCAGTGGCGAGGGAAACCAACAGGAGACTACTTGAGCAGCGTCCAAGACCACAATTACTTATCTTACTTCGACTTGGTTTCATACAACCTGCATACGGCCTATGTTAACCCGCAAGGATGTTGCCACTTCCACCCAGAATTAGCTCCCCTTTTTTCCCTTTTTGATCTTTTTCGGTGGGTTCCAACTTTGTTTTTCCACAAAAGCCCGGCGAAAAAGAAGAGAACATCTCACTTTTTTTTGCCTAGGGGTTCCCGGTTCGAGTTCCTCCCGCCGGATGTTGCAAGAAGCTCCGAAGAAGAAGCCTTCCGGGCCAGGAGAAAGAGAGCCTCGAGCCCTTCTTCATGGGCGGCTCCGTGGAGGCGCGCGATCCGATCGAGCGCTCGAAGGGATCAGACCGTGGGGACCGTCGCTCGAAGGATCGGAAGGCTCAGAAGGCCGAAGGCCGGTGGCCTCCGACCGAAAGTGATGACTTGCCAAGTGGTGCGATATATCTAGAGGGAACTAGCTCCCCCAGCTAGATTCGTGCCAACCTTTGCGTTTTTTCCTTTTTTTGGGAGAGGGTTCCGCTAAAATAGACCACGGAAGACCTAATTCTAGTTCCTCTCTGGAGGAACTGCGGAATGAGAGTTATGACCCCGAGAGAAACCATCCGACTGGTGGCGTCCTTTAAGGGACTGTGGGAATGAACCAACTGGGTCCCCTGAAAGGAAACCAGTTGGATGGTTTTTCTCGGGGTCATTCCCTAGGCGCCCCTTTCCACGGCTGGGCGTAAGTTTTCAAGCACCCGCAGGTTGCTGTCGGCATGCAAGGAGCTGCACCCATGGCAGAATTTGGATCGTATGATGTTTGAAACGACAGAGAACAACCACAGCTCAATTCGGTCCAGCGCCATGATCGTTCCTTCTAAGCGTCCAACAGAAAACGACGAAAAGAAAGACAACAACAGAGCAAGAGAGAGAGAGAGAGAGAGAGAAAGCAAGGAACATAGCAGAAAACAAAACAAAACAAAATAAGTAAAACAGAAACATGAATAAACACAATAAATAAATGAATACAGAAAAGAGGAAAGACATAAAGACAAACACAACTATAGAAATAAATTAATAAATAAGTAAATACATGGATAGGGTGTAACTCAATACAGGAATGCATTAAGAAATAACGAAAGGAAAGACAGAAAGGAAGGAATGACGGTTGGAAGGAAAGACATAAAGAGAGACACGGAACAAGACAAGAGAACATGGTACACAATATGTAGATACACATATGAATAATAAAGAAAGGAAATAACGATAACGATAGCCGGAAATACGCAATGACATCAGTAAATAATAAAGACAATCAGACAGACATAAAGAAAACACTTAGGACAACCAAAGAACCAACGCCCTACTTGGATGTTCGGCCATAGTAAGTGGCTAGCCGACCCACACATATTAGGGTTAACTTTACTTTGGCGAACTTGTGGGTGAACTATAACCAAGGTTACCAACACCTAATCAATTTGGTCAAACACCCAAGTAAGCCCAACAAACCTCCCCAAACCCCCCCCAACCCCCCAACCCCCCCAACCCCCCCAAACCCCCCAACCCCCCAACCCCCCAAACCCAAACCCCCCAAACCCTTCAACACCCCTCAAAACCAAGACCCATCCACAATAAATCGGCGAGGCGTACCTCATCATCCTGGCCTTCGCCTTGGCCGGCTTCGGCTTCGGCGCCACCGAGGGCGCCACCTTGTTCCCCATGCCCTTCAGCCCGGAGCCCAGGCACTAAACCTCGCGAGAGCCGAGCCAAAGAAACCCGTGCTGCCCTTCTCTTGGGGGCATGTCTGAAGCCGCAGCTAAATGGGTGTGGCTCAAAATTAAACAGGAGGGGTTACGCAGGTTTTGGTCCATGTTTCCACTTACCAGGGTTCCATTTTGGTACCGGTTTTTTTAGTCACAGCCAAATGGGCGGCGTGTTTTCTTTTTTGGACGAAATCGTGGGCGATGTTTTGTTTTACGCCGGTCCGGGGCGAAAGTCGAAAGTCAAAGTCATACGGTTTTCCCTTTGCGAGCACAGTGAACTGGTATGCCGCCAGACGCTCCCGGCTTGATGACTGAGGGCTTTTTTGTTCTTCCTTTTTTTTTCTCTTCCGGGGGGGGGGTGGTTGAGGGCTGGTTGCCCCACAGACGGAGGACACCAAGCGCACACCTTTCACCACCTCTCGAAGACTCAAACATTGGAGTTGGTTGGGGGGGAGGGGGGCGGTTTGGAGGACTCTCTATGACAAACCTCCTTGTCGTTCGGACTCTGCACCAGACTTACTTCACCTTCTTTACCGCTGGGATTCGAACCACCATCACGATGGAGTTTATATCTATATATAACCACCATGGTATACCGTTCAGGGTTGTCATCATCTACATTGGGTCCCACATGCTGTCGGATCTGGTTTGCCCAGTTTTCAAGTGCTCCAACAAACAAGTCCTCGGCCGGGTCCGTTGGGCCCCAACGCGGCTCGGAAGAGCACAGGACTCATGTTCGATTGCCTTTACTTCAATTTGCTTAAGAGTTTTTATGTTCCCCTGTTGGTTTTAAAGGGAATCTATGACAACCGGAAGTAATGTTTTTGTGCGGGGGATTGAAGCAGCTCTTTTGCTTGTTCCTCCCCTACTCACGGGCGTGGAGCAAAATTTCAGGTTTTTGGTGGCGGATATGTGGCGGGGGGTGTAAGCCGGACCAAGAATTTATGCTCGAATGAGCTCCTTTTTTCTTTAGGGGGGGGCTGCCCAAACTTTGCTCGGCGGCTGCCTGGTCTGGTTTGAGTGCAATGCTGCAATGAGGGAACTCCAGGTGGGGTCTCCTCCAAGACTACGCTATTTGTTCGGGTAGACGAAATATGAAACATAATTTGAAAGTGTGTTTTGGGTGTAATGTTGACCCCCCGACTAGTAAACCACCTGGTTGATTTTGATAGGGGATTGAGACCACTTTTGGAGGGGTGTTGCCCCACTGCCCTCCATGTTTCCACTTACCAGGGTTCCATTTTGGTACCGGTTTTTTGCGCCACAGCCATGTTTTGCTAAATAGTCAACTCGAGCGCCTGGGGGTACCTGGTGCACTGGTGCTCTGCTTGAAAAAGCCATTCCTAGTTGGGGGGGGGGCCTTCAGTGGTAAGGGTTTCTTTTCTCACTTGTTGACTGGGCAACCTTTAGACTTATTCTTGGCTTTTCATGATCTTCAAGTCCCCAAAGGTTCATTTGTTGTTGGCAAGTCAATTCAGGTCAGGTATATGTCTATTTTGCCCGGAGAGTGTGTTCCATACATCAGTTTGGATGCAACTGTGGATTCCACATTTGTGAGTTTGAATAAATATGAAACATAAATCTGAACGTTTGTTTGGTCTACCCTTAAAGTGGGGTTCTCTTCAGTGTTCGTATTTGTGCTATTTAGCAAATATCATGACTTGGACTCGATTTAAAGAACCACGCAACTATATTCTAATTGTTCATGCCCTTAGGTTTCCCCTGTTGGGCAAAGACGCCGTTGCGCAGTAGATTCCGCCCTTTTGCCCTTTCTTGGTTGCATTTTGCCAAGGGATGTTAGGACTCTCTTTTTTTTTTGCCAACTAGTGGGGTTTCCGTATGAAACCACCAAAAGTTGAACCTTTTTTTTTGCCAACTAATGGGGGTTTCCGTATGAAACCACCAAAAGTTTGCCACTTTTAGCCGGGGAGCAGATTTCGCAACCGAGTCTAGCAACGAGCCACGGGGCGGCTGAGAGAGGGATCCGAGGGATCCCCTTAAGGCCCCGGCTCCTTGTTCCAGCCTGAGCTGCTGGTCATCGTGATCGGCGCCTGCGGATGGCAATGGGCGGAACCGCGGTGAAAACGCGGAGGGGAGGGTCCTGCTCGGATGTCTGCACCAAGTTAGTAAGGCCACCTGAGCCACAATCAAAACCCCAGCCAGAAATAGTTGCGGCCGCCTGCTTAATTCTTTACATGGTTCTGGGTAGACCATTTTAAATACCGGGTTTTGATTGTGACTCACCTGTTTGTTTGTGCATTTCTTCACCCACGAATCCCAAGGTGAAGTCTACTGGGGGCTTAGCAGGTGATAGCTCAGCTTCTCCATGGCAGTTGGTTGAGACTTCGGGACTTCGGGGCTTCGGGACTCGGAGGGGTGGCCACCCGGTGAACCTGAACACTTCCAACCAGAAGTAGCTCCCCTTTTTCCTTTTTTCATCTTTTTTGGTGGGTTCCAACTTTGTTTTCCACTAAGCAGGCAAAAAAGATAACTTTCTGCTGGGGTCCTAATTCCAGCCTAGAAAAGGGAAGCTTCTCGAAAACGCCCAGGTTTCAGGGCCTGGTCTTTGGGCTCTGGATGAATTGGGGCAAAGGTTCCAATTCTTCGCGCCGCAAAGGTGGCCATGTGAAGTTTTTTGGGCCATGAATGGCCCTTACCAGAAGACTTGACTCAGGCTTGTTATCAGTGAGTAGAGAAAACAGGTGGCCTTGTACTTACTTGGCGAATCGAGCGCCCAAGTATGGAACATCAAAGAATCCGATTTTCTGTGTACCCCCTGGATCAAGGTTTGTTTCTTCATTCACTCACTGCCTTACTCTCTGTCAACACGTCTCACATCGCTCCTACCGTTTTTCTTACTCCCCGAGTGCCCGGACTTTGGTTACTTTTTGGGAAGACCATTAGGGTGGCTCGTGTTTTGTCAGGCTGGGTACCCTTTAAAGGGAAAATCAACATGAATCCCTCATTTTGAGGGTTCCCGGATTTGAAGACGAATTCAATTGAATTTGTAATTTTGTTCTGGGCCCATCCACTCGATTGGACGCGAGTTTTTGCGGAGCTTTCTCACAGTCACAAACTATTGGCAGACTGAACTCTCCGCTTTGGCAATAAGCGTTGCTTCATTTCAATCTGCGGATATCCTTTTCGTTGCTGGTTCAACGGGAAACCTGAGAGGGACATCCGACAATTTTTTTGTGGACTCCCTTATTTTTACGACCACGACTTCTCTCTCCATTCTTTTCCTCAGCAAAAGTGTCATTTTGTTGGGTCAGGGGTCCACGCGTGTTTGGCCCGGTTGGGGTTTGTTCAGTGGCTTACCAATCGCTGGATCCGATCAGTTTGGCGGAACTTGAGGCTTCACTGCTGGGAGGGCTTGAGCGGTAGTCTGAGGGGGGGGGCTTGGGTTTTCAGGTCCCTGTCACTTGACGAATCTAAGCTGTTTCAATGCATTCACATGGAATGCTGACTGTAAAGACTCAGAAAACTGAGGGTCCGCATTCGGCGTCTGTGGGGTTCCAAAGAAAGACGAGTACAATGTGAGTACAAAGGGGCTAGACATGGGGCATACAGACTAAGTATGAAAGGGGTTCCAGAGGAGATGTATTCCAGGCAGCGCAACCCAACTGGGCTTGGTAAGACATGAGTTGGGTGCAAAGCGTCGAGGAGTGTTTTCTGAATAGGAGTGCCGCGGTTTTTTGATGGGTGGTTTAAAAGGGAAACCAAGGCTTGACGTGGGTTTCTTGAGGATTCTGCGGGTTGTCGGCCGTACAGCTCCCGCGCTCTACGTCGGCGCACGCACAAGACTTGCAGGAGCAGAAGGGCGGGAAACAGCCGCCGGCCATCGCAGGTGGAAAACCGAACGCGAAAGCGAAAAGAAAAGCGAAAGCGCGCGCGAAAGCGCGCGAACGAGCGCGCGAGAGATTTTGTATCCGCGCGTATCCAGCTGGACACCAGAGGAGTTGCAGGATCCCCCGGGAGGGCAGCGACGAGGTGACGAGGGACCTACGTGGCTGGGCGCGGCAAGGTTCCGGACATCGCCCCAACATGGTTGTTGTTGGGAAACTGTTTTTACATTTTACATTTTTGCTTATTGTGGTTTAGTGGTTGAAATCCAACCACTTAACTGCTAAAAAATAAATTGTTTGCTCCCCTTCCAACGTCAACCAAGCCAAGAGTCGTACTGGGGTCTTGCCGAGCTTGACGGTTTAAACGCCAACAGCCTGATCAACCAGGGCAGCTGGATCCCGGTGGACTTGTGTCACAAGCGAGATCTTCACCTTCGGTGAAAATATGGATTTGGGATGGACATGGCGGAGCCACAATCAACGTCTGAGACAAGCGTGCAGACCGAGCCAGAGCTTACGCCCTTGCGTGGGGTCTCCGATCCCAACACTAAAACATGTATCTTACGGTAGACCAAACATATGAAGCAGAATCTGAAAGTATCCCCTTGTGGGCCAAGTTCCGGATCGCTTCTGTGGCCCGAATTCTGATTTACCCTCAACTAAGAGGCTGTCCCCCCCCCCAAAGCCTTTGGCCGGAAGGATTCTTCATCATTTTAGAAACAAGCAACAAGTAACTTGAGCTTCGGTTTGCCAGTCAACTCAGCAGGTCAGGCATATGCCCCATCGTTCGCAGCAGGTGGTTTTCTAGACACTATTTTAGATGCCCAAAAGTGGATTCCACCTGCTCTTTTGGGACTCTTTTAGCACTTTCCAACGGGGAATCCACAGGTGGATTCGGCATCAAAGCAGTATCACTACCCACCAAAGTGAAGGAACCCTACTAAAAGGTGACACCCTCCGATCAAAATCAAGCCCGGATTGCTTACTCCGGTGTTCACGTTGCACCGGTTCCCCACGGGGCGGATTTTTCATAAAATCCTCGATTCGAATCTCAGGCGCCTCCTTCGCCTACTTTGCAGAGGCCCTGGATGCCGAGCAAGAGGCTTTGCAACACGCGCAGAACGAAGCGGAGGCTCGGCGCGCTCAGAGATTGAATCGACTCGGAGGGGGAGCGGTTCCCTTTCTTTATTTGCGCAGTTGAAAGGGGGTGGGGGTGAGGGGGGTGAGGGGGGTGAAGGGGGTGCCTTTCTTTCATTTGCGCAGTTGGATTTGAAGGGAATCGATTTCACTACTGGACACATGTTCAGATTGCGTGAAACAACATCCGGGCCCCAAAGTTGGGGGACATGGAACCCATAGAATTGGTGTTTTAAGTCGGTTTCCCTCTGAAACAACGCAAGCAGGGTGATGTGAGGGGCTAAAGAAGACATGATGATCACAACTCACCGTCGTGGTCAAGACGGGCAGCCCCCAATATGCAGCTCGTGAGGCCCAACGAAGGGAAGTCTGTCAGGAAGCACATCATATCTTGACGGTGGCCAAGTATGAAGCAAACGATCAACCGGTAGAAGACATGATGTTACTGTATTTTTTTTTTCAAATCGACCTTTGCCAAGAGTACCACGCCAGAAGCCACAGAAAAAGCGGCTCTGGAGTCGTCAGGATTGAATTGGGACACGCCTTAAATGGCTGGTCTTCGACATGTCCTTAGCTTAGCCCATGATACCTTTTGGAAACAAATGGCTTTTTCATGACACCTACAAAAGGTTTGATCTTTTGCTCAGGGGGCAGACCAAATGTTTTGGGTACTACACCCTTAGGTAATATCTTAGGGTGGCCCAAGGTGAGGCAAGCAATCAATAAGATGTAGCCCTCTGTCTTTCTTTCTACATGGGTATCCCTGTCTGTGCCCGCGGCCCCTCAGGGATGTGTTCTTTTGTCAACACCATGGGGATTTGTCGGAATTGCAACTCCCGAAGGGATCTTGAAACACCGAACCACATCCCCCCAACGATGGACGGCTGTCAGCCTCGCCCGCCGGCCAGGGTGCTGAATACTTCCACAACGCCCGTAACAACATGGAATTCTGTGCTTCATTAATTGGTACTGCGCGGATGTGCCAGCGCACTTTGTTTGTTCCGCCCACGCTTTCTGCGAACAGCTGCAGATCATTCACCCATGCTGCTCTACACAAAAGCAGACCCCGCTTGATGGTCCTCACACACGTTTTGCGTGGGCTGCAAGACCAAGCAATGAGAGCTAGTCCTCATCTGAGGGGCAAAACTCATGCCAAACTCCCTTGCTGGGTTGAACGGCAGCCCAGTTCTTTGGCATTGGATAGTTTTCAACACACGAACCATCATATGTTGCTTCGGAATGATTGGACCAGTTTTCCTGCAAGCTGTATGCTAGCGCCAGCTTTGAGCTGGCCTGAAGGTAAGAATTGCCAGCGTCACATTTCTGCTAATGGATGGGCCAGAGGCGAAACCTACAATCCTGAACGGCAGCTATGGTAGTTAAAACATCTGCCCATTGGTTCAATGGTGGGCCTGCACAAAATCTTAGGGTTTGGGAAGACTTGTGGCCACTTCGCTTTTTCGCGAGTTTGCCTCTTAAAGACGCCTGTTTTTCCTTTCAAGGATTTGGACCCCCCCCAAAAGAAAAAGAACAATAATAAGCACCATATCTTTTGAGGAATTGGACCCCCCCCCCCAAAACAAGAAGAGAGAGAGGGTTTTCTCCCCGAAGAACTGTGGGCGTCTTGTGGTTTTCCTGAAAAACGCATCCGTACCTTCCCGCCTCACAAGACGAGCGAGCCAAGCGGTTTTTCGGGCCAGGAGAGCTCTGAGGAGCGAGCTGCCAAGGTGGATCCGTCCGGGTGAGGTGACCGTTGGGGTGACTTGACCCTTGGGCCGTTTTTTTGGCTGGCTCGGTGTGGTAGTTGGCTTGGGCCATTTTTTTTTCACCACCCTGGTTCGGTGTGGTAGTTGGTAGTTAGTGTGGTAGTTTTGCTTGGGGGGGCATTTTTTTCAGGCCACCCTGGTTCGGTGTGGTAGTTGGGGGGGAAGTCCTGAAACTCGGGGGGTTCCATTGGCAAATGGCAAACCAAAAACATGGTTGGCACCGGAACGTCGGGTTTTTTAGGTGGCCGTGGCTCAAAAATGGAGACCAAAATGGCAAGAGGTAAATGGAACCAAGGACTAAAACCTGAAGATTTTTTCCTGGCTCTGCGAAACTTTGAGGCACACCGATTTTTTTTAACCCTGGGTTGGGCGTGGTTGCAGTTGGGGATTGAAAGTCCTGGTTCTTGTTGAGAAAGGGGAAACCACCAATCCAACCTCTGAACCAGCAATACAAACCAGTAATTGGAGGGCAGCTGTACTTTCACTTTGGTTAAACGTGAAACCAAAAGGAAAACGACCAGACCTGCCCCCTCAAAACCCTTCGATCAGAACCCCTCCTACGAATCTCAGACGCTTTCCGGGACCTTTGGCGTTCGCATGTTCTCAACATGACTTTTGGGGTGGGTTTCCTTGCCACGCATTTCAAAGGATAATTTTCCGAGTGCGACCAAAACTGGAACCAGTTCTTCTCGCCAGAAACAGAGTAATTCAACGCGAATGGGGCAACAGCGACAGGACACAAGCTAACACATGAGGCAGAATCAAGACGCCGCCGCCCACAAGGGCTGCCAGGGTATATGGGATTTGCGTGGATAGCGGAGGGAGCTCACACGGGAGAATGGTCCCGTAGGGATTCCTTCTCATTGGTGAAACTCTGGATGGTTGCGAAATCCATTTCGCACTGTTCAAAACGCTGGTTTCTGCTACGATTCCCCAACATAAATGCCAACCAACGTTATCCACCATGGTTTCGCTTCTAGCACAAGAAGCGGATTTCGGGAGAACCATCCACAGATATCCACTGCAGTTTTAGGTTTGGTATTTCAGGCCCTGGCTCAAAAAGCCAGGGGCTCAGTAAATGACAGGTCAGCAAATAGTTCAGTGCTTATTGGACACATGACTTGCGCCAATGTATCATGGCCATGTCACACACGCTGCCTGCGCAACCTGAGCTCCAAAGTCATGTGCACAACGCGCTTTGCGGAACACGAGCTAATCAGTTAGCAACATCGGCCAAGAGTACCACAAGGACCCAGCAATGCGCCCGGCACCACCGACGCTTGATGATGCTTACTAAGCCTGAAAGGCAAGTGTGTTGAATGATGCGGGTTGCGTCGGTGTGGGAGATCCCGAGCCAATTGGACCACCAAGTTCTTTACGTTTCTGGGGGCTGCGAACTCTGCATTTTAGGTCATGTTCCAGGCGCGCGGGCAGCGAGCGCTTCCGAAAATAGCCCGTTGGTACAAAATAGTGTTTTCCGAAATGCAGGCACGCAGCGCCGGAAAATAATGTCGCTTTTGTTTCGGAACTGAGGCGCACCGAACGAAACCTGCACACGGCCTCGGCGGCTTATTAAAAGAACATGTCCGGAAACCAAAGGCATATTTGGCCCCAACCTCCAGTGGTGCCTTTTTCATTTTTCTGCCAGAAAGACCCCCCAACACCAAACGCTTCCACAAAAGGTTGGGGTACCCCTTGTATGAAATCCCCCCCCATGAAATCAACCGCCCAAACTTGGACAAGCCCTTTTTGCACATGAGCATCCACTTTTGGAGAGTTCTCTGTGAAATCGGTTGGTCTATGGGTCCCAAAAATGTGAGTTCCCTGTTGGATTCCCTGTATCCTTTCGCCTCCAAAAAGAAGAACATCAAGCCACCCAAATCAACTACTTAAAGGGGCGATCGGGTAGTTGGCTAGTAAGCCTGGCTCTAACCCAGCCATGGCTTTTGGGGTTTATAAGCAGGCTTACTAACCACTTACCTGACGTAATGGATCGCCCTTTAAGTACCAAAAGCCCAGGCGAAAACGGAGACTGGAAGTCTGGGTTCCGCCAGGACAGCTCCGAGTCAACCCTGGAGGGCGTAATGGACGTCGCCGCTTGGAGAAAGTTTGGCCCAAGCCGCGGGTGCACGTGAGGGCCATGTCAGGAGCTTCTACTCACTTTCTGAGTTCCGTTCCGGACTTATGGGGGTGTCTCAAAATGGTGGACCCCTCAAAATGGGTGGTTTTCCTTTGGTGTCCCCTTGAAGGGATACTCTCAGAAACGGACCCGCACATATAGACACTTGTTGGGTTTGGATGCAATTTAGTGGCAAAAGTGTGGGTGCTTGTTTGGGCTGGTCGCGATCGGAAGTGAATCTGCGTTGTGGTTTCACTGGATTTTATGATTGTTTTGGTTTCCCTTCACCAGTGACCGTGGTCACTTCATTTTTTCTATCATGGTTTCCACTACCCCCGAACCACTACCAGTAGGTTGGCGTCACCTAGCCTAGGTTACTCGCTAAAACAAGGTTGACTCCACTTGGGGGGCCTTATAAGTATCCTGGAGACAACAACCTAACCTGATGGGTAGTAACTTCGGCGTGAGTTCGGTTGCTTTGGTGATCAACCTGGCATGTCCAGGTATGCGACAGCCGCCGAGCGTGTGGGGTGTATACAGCATATATCCAGTTTCCCTCGCAAAGAAAAGACAGCGAAGGATTTCCATCCCTGAGAAAACCCTGGGCAACGGGGGGTCTGCCAGAACAAGGCGTTCCTTGATGGCTGCAATCTGAGAAACACCCTTTTGAAATGCAGGAGTCAACTCTTGGGTTTGTGCACATCGCGGCCATTCAGCCAAACTCCGGACTCGGGGTGACTGGGATATTTTCTTTTCGCGGGTTGAGACCACTCAATTGAGCGTGTCTCAATTTGGACAAGGGACATACTGAGAACCCCGGATTAATAAACCTCCGGTTGATGAATGGGGGGCTTCCCCTTTTAGTGTGGGAATCCTTCACTTTTGTGACACCCCCTATGGGACAAGTTTATAGATCTGGGCTTGAATCTTCCGGTCCCGGCGATTCTGACGCGTCACATAGAAATCCGACTTGGCGGTTTGGATCGGTTCAACCGGTGGTTTGGATCAGTGGTAGCAAGGAGAAACCACCCAGCCTTCACACCTCCAAACCGGGCTCCAAGCCGCCAAGAAAGGGGGTGGAAGTGAAATTTTAAACCACCTGGGTACCACAGGGTTTGGCCCATGTCACTTTCCAGGGCAACAAACATTTCATGGTTGTTGTTGGGAAGCATTTTACATTTTTGCTTATTGTGGTCTAGTGGGAAATCCCCACTTAACTGCTAAAATATGTTTTTTTGCTCCCCTTCAACGTCAACCAAGTTTTGGGGTTTCCAAAAATGTTTGACCACCACAGCCAATTGGGAGCATTCCGATCTCCAGGTGGCGGGGGTTTGGACCTTCGGACAGCTGGTGCTCTTCAGCATGCTGGGCAGCAAAACCGCGCCTTAGCCCGAAAGCCCCAAACATCGCCTGTGCCTCTGGGGGAGGGGTCAACCCCCCTGGTTTCTCCAAAAAACACAAAGGTCTTTCTCTTTCTCCGGTCTTTTCCCTCTCCTTTTTTCTCTTTATTTTCAGGGGCGGGGTCAAAGGAAGAGAGCCGCCTATCAGAAAGGAAGGGGCAAGGGCTCGGGCTCGGGCGCCGGGGGAACGGGATGCCGGAGCACATTCCTTGCGGTAAGAGAGGCAGTGTGCGTCAGGTAAGTGGATAGTAAACATGGCTACAACCCACTTGCCATGGTTATAAGTCTCCTAAGTGGGTTAGAACCAGGCTTGCTAACCGCTTTCCTGGCGTACCGAATCGATCGCCCCTTTGAGTAGGGCCAAGTGTTACAGACCTTGCCTTCAAGGCCCCTTTGGGCTTTTCCTTCATGGCTCCTTTCCAAAGAGTTGTCACTTGCTGAAACCTCGTCACTTGCTGGGGGCTTGTCGGTTCCGACGTCTAAGAGGGGCACATGCGCTGGTTCCAAAGACCAGCTGTGGTCATCTAGCCTTTCCAGGAGCCTTTCAGAGCCAAGACGGAGTTTCGCAGGGACGTACATGGAGATTCGGCCAGCTCTAGCCACCTGGGTCATACCCCACCAAAAACGAGGTGAGCTCCACTTAGGGAGCCGCACTCAAAAGCGGGTCTCGACTTGGGCTATCTTGGGATCTTAAAGGCTGACACCAACTTGACCAAACACCCAAATATGACATGGGAATCATGGGCACGATGATTCCTTTGTGAATCGTACAGAGGCCCACAGTTGTTAAAACTCATAGCCCAGAAACAGACATGGGATGATGCGCACGAAGTCTCCCGTTCCACAAGAGAAAGGGTCTGCGCACCAAACCCTTTCTTTTTATGGTAGTGTATTGGCTCATTTTACCGCTAGAAGGGAGCCCTTTGATTCAAGGTAAATGAGGAGTTGGCACGCCATCACAAAGGGGCCGCCGATTTTGGGACACCTCCCGCATTTCTAGGCATGGCATAGTTGCAGACTCTGCGATTCGGTGGGAAAAATACCCCCCCCCCCTGCAGGGGAAGATGGCTTGTATATACACAAAGTGTTGTTTGTTACTTGTTCCCCCCGTTTCCTTCTATTTGTCACCCTTTTGGTGTTTGTTTGCCTTCTTTGTCTTTGTTTGTCATATGCTTACATCATGCGTATTATTATTTTTAGCTACCACGCCATATTCCAGGTATTGTTGTACTGGTGCTTCCCACTTTGTGTTTTCTTATTTTCCTCCTCCTTGTCGTGCCTTTTTTCCTCCTTTTGTCAGGTAACCAAATCGTCACAGTTGGTGGTTTGATCGGCTTGGAGACTTGAACCCCTCCCTTTTGTAGAATATACATGACCACCAAACAACCAATCAGAGGGAAGCTAATTTGTGTTCCCAACGCTTTGCTTCTCTTCTTTTCCTTCCTTTTCGGAAGTTCCCACAAAGTAATTCATCGCCTTTGGGGTGGTTGGTAATTTGTTCGCTCAGGACCTGTCCTCCCTTCTCGGCCACAAATTCCCTACCTTTTGGGTTCGAAATTCTCAGGACCCACAAAAATCCCCCCCCCCGGGCGGGTTTTTGGTTTCATTTTTGTTTTCCGAAGACACAGCTGCTGCTACTACTACTACTACTGCTGCTGCTGCTTCTTCTACTACTACTACTACTACTACTTCTACTAACTTCCGAGGACCTGGGGGTCTTCCAGCAGGTCTTGTTCGTTTTGCCCCTGGCCCTGGTGGGCATCAGCTGCCGCTTCGTGGGGGTCCTGGCGGTGACCAAAGCCTCGGTGCGCTTCCGGGTCTGCGCCGCCGGGTGTCAGAAGTGCCGGCCCGGCGGCCCAAGGAGTCGCTGGCGCGGTAGGGCGGTCGCGTTTGGGACCGGGGCGCAGGGGAAAACGAGAGAGATGGGTGGGAGACGGGCGCGGCGTTTCCGCGCTTTTGGAGGTGGTAGCCTATTTGTTTTTAAAAGTTGGTGCCGTTTTTTGTTTGCTGTTGGTAGATTTGTTTTGGGTTGGAGTTGGTACCCCCTTTGGAGTTGGTACCCCTCATTTTTTTGGAGTTGGTAGCCCCTTGTTTGGTGGTTTAACGGGAAACCAAAGTTTCATCTGAATGGGGTCCTTGTCATTATTTTACTAGCTTCGGATTTAAGTCCCGGATTTTTTTTCTGGGGCTGTGGGCTTATCAACCAATTGCCAGTGTGCGCCAATTCTCTTGGTTCCCATTAAGACCGATTGCCAGTGGGCGCAAATCCTTTTTTGCAGCTGTGTTGGGAAAAGGGTTCCCTTTCGCATCATCTGGGCTCCACGCACTCCAATTGGGGCAGGGGGGGTGGGGTTTTGAGCAATGTGGCCTTTTTTTCTCCCATGGCCATGGGGGTCGGGGGACTGGGCCCCGGGCTTCATTTGGATTGGTCTGCGATGGGACTTTGAACCCCAATTCCTTTGGCCCTGCGATTCAAGGGCTCATTTCAGCCAAAACATGCTGGGCTCATTTGAAGTCGAAGTCGCAACCTCGCAACAACCAAACCAGCAAACCACAAGCTGCCAAAACGAGTGCTCAAAGGGCTGATTGCAAGCCCTCCGCGTGAGGGGTTTCTCCTGGGCAACCTGTCTTGCCATCTCATTTTCGGCGGTTTTGCAGCGGGGGTTAGACTCATCTCGGCTGAAACAAGCCGGACATATGGGGCTGAGTACCTGGGGCTGAGTACCTGGGGCTGAGTACCTGGGGCTGAGTCGTGTGGCGAATGCCTCTTGGGGGACGAAGAGAAAGGAGGGGCGTCACGGTTCCATTTGCTGATATCAATATTTTAGATGTTCCCCTGTTGGTTTTAAAGGGACATCACTACTGGAAATAGGTTTTCCATGTTTTCTTCAGGGGACGAAAAAGCTAATGGAAGTTACGGTGTTTTGATTTGGAGATGCTTTGAAGGGAATGCCACAGATGAAGGGGAGCAGGAGGCAGCAACCAGAGCACTTGGAGTCTCCATGAGCCTTGCAATTATTCCCCCAAAGTTATGTATACATCTCCCCGTGTTTACTCCACATGTTGAAAGGGGGGAGCCGCATGTAGCCTCCTCCGAAAATCATACTAAAGACAACACGCAAACGAAACAAACAGAGAAAATCAGGTGACTTCCGATATTTCCACTGTTCTAACCCCATCCCACCGACTCCCTAACCCCTTGAGACCACCGTGCAGGGCTGAGAACGAGGGCACCTGGTGGGCCGACGCCTGGTTCTGCTTTCTCTCCACCCTGCCCAGGCCGGGGGGGGTTTCCGCGGCGGCAAATCGACGCCAGGGGTGGCTCGTCTGCTCGTCTTTTCTGCCTGTGTACCCCTAGTGTTTGTGGCGGGGGGGGGGGGGGGTAAAGTCAAGCCAAAGGGAAAACCGCAGGCTTTTGTTTTGGGGGGGATTTGAAGGGAAACCAAAGGGGAAGCTGCAGTTTGTCCGGGTGCCCTAAAAACAGCCGCGCCCAGAATGGTCGTCTGATGTTTACAAGTTGGACATACAACTGGGCAACGGGCATGTTTGGGAGATTCATAAAGGAGGGGAGGACGCTACCTTACACAATGATGAGGGGTTCTTTCTTGGGGGAGCATGTCAACAGGCGAGTTATGACTCAGCAACTTAGGAGGCAGATCGCTAAGATTCAGGTGGCCTTTAATTGGCGGCTTGGATTTCGTGGTTTAGGTATTTGTTTTCTTCCCAGAATTAGCTCCCGTTTTTCCTTTCTTGCTTTTTTGGGGTTCCCTTTGTTTTCCACTAACCAGGCAAAAAAGATACTTTTTTGCTGGGGTCCTAATTCCAGCCTAGATTTTAACCTCCTGGTTGTTCAAACGAAAAGCCACCGGTTGCAGCCCAGCACCAAATTGCCAAAGCTTGGCTGGCCCTTTGAAAGTGCTCCAACTGATTCGTCGGCTGAACTTAAAGGGGCTGGGTACTTAGTAAGTGGTTAGTAAGCCAACCCCACTTTCCATGATTTATAAGTCTCCTAAGTGGGTTATAACAGGCAATTTAACCGCTTACAAGGTTCCCTGCCCCTTTAAGAAGTCAACCCCAACCTGTCCCCAGCTCCCCCAGATACCCACAAAAGTGTCCCCCGAAAAAGAGAGAAAAAAGAAGCTCAGGTGACATCCCCAACAGCATGAGGTTCTCTTTATAATGCTCGCACCACCCTGCAGCCCTCGTGGAACCCTGGTGGAACCCTGGTGGAACCCTCGTGGAACCTTTCCTCAGGGCCGCCCCGGAGCACCCCGGAGCCTATCTGGGCTGAGACCCCAAAGCTTTCAGCTGTTGGGGAAAAAAAGAAGCCCTGAGGCCAACTGGAGTATTCTTGCGGAGAAGCATGCCGGATGTGGGAGCGTGAAAAAGTCAACCAACCCATCGGAAATCACTTTACCCCTCATGGTTGGGATTGGTTTGCTTTGAACCCATTCCCAGAAGGGCGGCCCGAGGGTCCTTCGGGCTTGGGTTCCAGTTTTCCCCAGTTTCCCTGGCTTCCAGTTGCTGAATCGAATGTATGTTATTTTCCTTTCTGGGTTTTCAACCAAAAAACACTACTAGACATGTTCGCATTGTTTTACAGGGGGCGACAAACCATAATTGTTATTTTGTTATATGTATATATATATATACATTTTAAAATTTCAGTAAGCTCAGGCGATATCCCCAAACAGCATGCGGTACTCTTTTTAGCGCTCGCACCACCCCGCAGCCCTTGCAGAACCTCGTGGCGGAACCCTGGTGGAACCCTGGTGGAACCCTCGTGGAACCTTACCTCAGGTCCGCCCCGGACCACCCCGGAGCCTATTTGGGCTGAGACCCCAAAGCTTTCAGCTGTTGGAGAAAAATAAAACAACAAAGATACAATCATTTTTTCCAGAACAAACAACGACAACAACAAAACACAATTTCTATTTTTGGCCAGCGGGTACCGCTTCAGGGCCACCATCCAGGGCGCCCTGGGGCCGATCCCCATGCGCGACCGCTTCTTTAGCTCGGTCCCTTTGGCAACCAAATGGATGCGGGTGCCGCTTTTTGCGGAGGGGGCCGTTGTTTTTGGAGGAAGCAAAACAGGAACCCCTTGAGTTTTTGTTATGTATATATATATATATATATGCATAAATAATCAAACAAACAAACACACGAAAACAAACACACCACATTGTGCAGGGTGTCGCTTTTTGTTGGGTTAAGGGGGAGCCAACAAAGGAATCCCAGAAACAGGGCCATCTTAGTGGATGGAAGCATTTTTTCTTTTTGCAGGGTGCCGGTTTTTTTGTTTGTTTGTTGGTTTCAGGGAGAGCCAACCAAGGAACCTCAGAATTGTTGGTTTCGATTGGTGTGGATGGTCAGGGCCCAAAACCTTCCCGAAAAAGGGCCTAGAAAACTTAGCAGATGCTTCACCACCTGGCTTGCGGTTAGTTTGGCTTAGCGCCTTGCAACTATGTAGAACCATGTCAATTGGTCTTGGACACTGCTCAAATTGATGTAACTCAAGGGGTACTCCCTGTAGTTTCCCTTTGAAACCACCCCAAAAGGGTGTCCTCAAGAAAGGCACACCCACATGCACCCTGCAGGCTAGTGTTCAAATCTTGGATTTGAAGGATACTCGTTTCAGGAGGGGGAAGGAGAAAAACCCTGCCCGGAATGGGCACGGTATTTTTACGTCGTGTCTCAAAATGGGGGGCCTTGTTGGATAAAGTGAAACCAACACCGCCTATTCCCCGGTTTCGCTCGCCTTTGAAACCCCCAAAGCCTAGAGACGGAGCCACTCATAGCCTCCACTTAGGCTCACATCTGATTTCCAGGTTTGAACAGGTCTTGGCGAGCCCTCCTTTGGTTTGCTTTCAAACGGAAGCTGAAGGGGAAACACGCATTTTGGGTGGGCTGGGGGGCCAAAGACCGTTATTTTTTGACGGGCCACCTGTCGCGATCCTTGGCTTCAGCGCCCAGCTCTCCTCGCCTTGGGCTTACGAAATGGGCGCAGCAAAGGGGCCTGAAAAGTGGTTCTGGTGCGCTTGGATTAATTCGTTTTGGCCCTACAACTCTCCTTGGAAGAACAGCCCAAGCAAAACCAAACGGAGAAACCCACCTGCAAGAAGTTTCTCTAACCAACGCCCCGAAACCTTATCTCCTGTTTTTTTTTTTTATCTTCCGTCTTTTTCCAAGCGAACTGTGTTTCGGGGCGGGGGGGTGGTTTTTGCGGGCAGAACGTTTGGGGGCTTTCTCAAGGGGGCGGGGGGGTGAGGGTAGCCCTTTGGAGGGAACTCAGTCGACCGCAAGGATCACTTCGGCCAGAACCGCTCGCAGTTCATCGCGGCGGCGGCGAGGCGATTTTCGCCGGGCGGAATTTTTTCGGCGGGGCGCGCGCTCCGGGCGGTCCCTGGAAGAGACTGAAGGAGCGCCTAAAAGACGAGCTGCCCCAGCTAGGTGCCTTTTACCGTTGCTTTTTGTGGGGGAGGGTTCCCCCACTAAGATAGACTACAGAAAGAAAGAAGGGTACCAATTTATTCGAAACTCTCTACTGGAGGACCTAGAAGAAGGCCTTATTGACTGGCGGGTTTTTGGGGATGGATCGCACGTGAGTCGGGGCTACTTTACCACCAGGTAGAAGAGGCTCGAACAAGATTTCCTGCTTCCCCCGTCCGGATGGGCAAACTTTCACATTCATATGTTGACCGTGGCTGACGAGTCTTAAAGAGGTATTAGAGTAGTTGGTAGAACTCGGCATCGGTGCCCTTTTTTCAATTGTCTTGGTGTAGTTTGCTTGCAACTACCAGTACTGAGTTGCCCTCTTTTTCCCCATGGCCAGTGGAGTTGTGGGATTTATTGTTAGCTACGTTGATTCATGATCCAGTTTACTCACTTCCCCAGCCATGTTGGTGAAACAAGCAGCTGGAGCATTTTGTGGCCGATCTGGCCAGGAACTGAGTAACTCACCGTAGCGCAGTTTAGTGAGGGCCATCCCCCTAGTGTTCCTAATGGAAAGAGAATCCTCTGGGGTGATTGCGGTTACTGCCGGTAGATATGTTGTCCAGCGCCGCCTTCAGCAAGTGGACATCCTTTTCCTTGGGAATGTGACTCTGGTGGGTATACAGACCACTCAGACCTTTTTGGAGAACAATCCAGGACATGAGACTTCTTGGTTCACGGGCAGAAATATGTAGGGTACACAGAAATATGGTATGGATGGATGTGACTTCCCCCTCCAAGTCGTGTGAAGCCTCCGCTTGCCGGGGCTCCCTTCTCTCTTTTCTTGGGGATGCGCCAAGGGCTTCCCGTGCTGAAGCTTCGAAGTCCCGCAAGGACAGTTCGCAGATCCGGCTTGACTCTGTACCATGGGGCTGCGGACTTCCTGGGATGGTGTTTGGTCCCTGAAAAGGGTTGCTTCGACGACCATGATCAAGCTACATTTGGGTAGTTCCTCGCAAATTGTGCCAATTTGCAAAGACTAAACGGACAAACAATGACAAACGGGTGTTTTTTTTTGGAGGGTAGCACCTTTTTGGGGACCTTTTTGCGGGGTCTCCCAAAAAAGAACACGCCCATATTCCATGCCAGGTGTTGGCCCCGCGCCATTTTCCCGCACAGGCTTGACACAGCTACGGGCCCCTTGACGCCGCCCCCAAACGTGTTCCCAGAGCTGAACCAGTGCCCTTTCACTGCTTCCTTTTCAAGAGAAACGAGGGGAAACCACAGATGCATGGTTGTCGTTGGGACCCATTTTTCCCATTTTTGCTTATTGTGGTTGAGTGGTTGAAATCCAAATCCACTGAACTGCTAAAATTTGAGAATTTTTGCTCCCCTTCCAACGTCAACCAAGGATGCAGCCTTTTTCGGAGTTTTAAAGGAAGCCGAAGGGATGCAGCCCATGTTGTGAGTTGTTCTAGGGACACCAAAGGGATGCCCCAGGTTTTGCCGGTTTTTCAAGGTAAGCGAAAGGGGCATGTTACTCGTGTGCTTCATCGATGTTTGAGACAACCCCGATTTTGTGTTTGACTCCAGTCGCAGGTTATACGTGGTGTGCATGGCCGTTGTGGGGTCCATTCTCTTGGACCGCTACGGGACCAGGCCACATCTTGTTCGGCGTTTTTTTGGGCCGTGTTTTTGCAGGAAAGCCTGAAGTGTAAGTCCGGTTGGTGGCCCCGGTTGGTGGTTTGAACCCCTGGTTCTTGTGGGGGGCACAGGGGAAACCCCTTCCTTTCAGACCGTCCAAACCACAAATTAGAAGAGCGTTGAGTCAGGGGGGGATTCCTTCTCTGCACCTATGTTCTCACCACCCATTTTTGAAGAGAAGGACCTAAGTATGTTTGGGTTTGCGGAAGGTTGGGCTAGAATAATTGGTGGTTCGGGGTCAATTGGAGACCAACCCCTCCAAGCCACGAATCCCAGCCACAGTGAAGGCTTGGCTGATGTTTCCCCAAAGTGCGTTCCCTCCCCACTTTAAGCCAACTTCTTTGGTGCCATTTTGTCCTCTTTTCTGCGCAACACATTGTTCGAGACATAATTACCCAGGTTGGGTTGGGTTTGGGCTTGAGTTGTTCTTGCAGGGGTGTTTCACGAAATAGGTGAATGACGCATACCTTTGAAGCCTGGTTTATACCCCACGTGCCACAGGAATGTGTAGGTGGGATAGAAAGAGGGTTGCTACTTAAAGGGGCAGGGTACTTAGTAAGTGATTAGTAAGCCTGGTTATAACCCACTGAACGGAGACTTATAGCCATGGTTTTTGTGGGTCACCATGGTATTATCCCCACTACCGAATCGATCGCCCCTTTAAGTATCCTCTATCCACTTTCTAAGTCACCAGCCCCATTCAGTGGCTTGCGCCTACCCGATGCAAACCGCCGTTGACCGGTTTTTTTTTCATCCAGGGCATTCAGCTCAGCTCTGGAGTGTCCAGGTCTTTTAAAGGGCAGTGCACTTGGACGTGTTGGCCAATCCAATTCAACCTTCCCAGGTGTTCACAGTGTACTTGGAGGTTCGATTCGAGTTAGAAACAAGATTTGTCCTCCACTTCGGGAAGCTTATAAACAGGGTTACTAACAACTTACTAAGCTAGCCACACAAGTATGCAACTGGTTTTGTCCAAAGAGCCTAGCTCGCGATTTGGATAAGGCTGCTCTTGGCGGTTCCCAGCCATACGGGCCCCTAGATTTTAGTTGGTTTGACATATTGTGGATGGACGAAATCCTGCACCACCTAAACACCCCTGGAATGATCCCCTGAAAATATCAAGCAACACTGGTTCCCCATGGTTTCAAAGTGGCGCATGGGTTTGTCTATCCTCAGTATGGGTCTGTCTGTTTTATCATGAACGCCCAAAATGGATGGTGTCCTTTTGGTTGGCTTTAAAGCGGACGAAAAAGGGTACCAACTCAAAAAGTCACACCCTTGTCCACTAAAGGCTTAAGACTTGGCAAGGGACCAACGAACTACTCAACAGCCAAACTAGACGACGAGTGACCCGGAAGCATAGCTGACCAATCTTGATTGGCGCAGTGAAGCGTTGCGTAAAGTTCCGTGATTCTCATCCTGATGTATGTTGGACATAATCTTAACATGTCTTTTCTTGCAGAATTCCCAGTAAAATCAGCCAACAGGGCGCCTAAAGAACGGTACCCCCTGTTGTACTTGCTGCTCAGGGTCCCTGAGGGAATGAGCCAAATAAAGCATCCAAGCGGTGGTTTCCTGGTTCATTCCCTTCCCTACCTAGCGCACCGATCGCAAGTAGTTCTTTCTGTGGCATTCTGGAAGTTGGGGGTCTTTGATCTTTCCAGGTCGCTGCAGGATATCAAGAGCTTTCAGCAGAGCCACAAAGATCTGGTGTGTCTCAAGGGGCAGCAGGAGGAGGCGAGTCCCAGAGCCCCAGCCAGAAACCGCTGCGGCCGCCTTGAACATTTCCTTGCATGGTTCTGGGTCAAGCATTTTTTGTACCGGGGTTCGATTCTGACTGGGCTTGTCTTCAAATCTGATGTGAACCATGGAGAGATACCTGGATCTTCCTGCATTCTCAAAATGTCCGCCTTTTCGCTACGAATTGCTTTTTGGGGCAATTGCGCGTGATTTTTGCCTACGGCCTTTTTTGCTCAATTTTGGTGCTAAGCGCAATCTCCCCGAATCTACAGGCGAAAATTCCCGACCAACAGGCAAAAATTCCCGACCAACAGGCGAACATTCCCGACCGCGGCGTAAACAAATATGACCGCCAGCGTTTTTTTTCGCCCTAAAATCAGTTTTTCCACACCAAAGGCAAAAAGCAAACAACACGTGTTTTTTGGCCAACGCCTAAAATTTTGGACCCCCGGAAGGTCCAGGTATCACCAGAGATTCGTTTTTGGGTGGTTCCCTCTGTGGTAGTTCTTTTGGCATTCGTCTGGGTGTCAAAATAGGGGGACCCTCAAAGTGGCTTTGCTTTTCGTGTCGCTTTACAGCTGTACGCGGTCTGGACATGTGTGAAAGCCAGTGGGAGCCTTCTGGGCAGGTTACAAGGAGCTCCGGCAAAACGAGGGAAACGCAGACTGTGCTTGGGAATCCCTCAATTCTATCTTGGGAACACCTTTCCATCGTGGGAATCGAGCAAGATTCCAGCTTGGGAATTTCAGCTTGCCCCGATTGGTTTGATAGTACCAGGCCTGCAAAAAGGAAGGCGCGAGCAGGTTCGTTGGGGTGATCTTCTTTGGGCTGGTCACTCTGGACAAGCGGACAAGACCCAGCTATGCGGTTCCCCTGCGATTCAAACCACCATAAAACAAAGGTTGGGTTCATTCGTTTACTGGGGGTTGAACCCTGGTTCCACAACTAGCCGATTCCGTTCAGGCGAGGAAGAACAATTCCGCACAGGTCCCAACTAGTTTGGTCCCATTGGCCGTTAGGGGTCAGACAGAAGCTTTTCGCTGGTGGATTTTTCGCGGACGGCAACTTGAGAAAGCGCAAGTAAATTCCCACTCCCACATGGACTCTCTGCTTATATGTCCATTTTCTCAGTTGTAGGGAAGAGCTGCAAGATGGAATTGGGGTCCTTTCCACCCTCTTTTCTTGATTGGAAGGGTGCGGGGTGGAAAGCTGAGGTAGCTGAGGTCGGGATGCCAGTGATTTCAGGTCCAAACGTCTTCAAGCCGCGGAGATATGGAGACAGGGGACTGAGCGCTTGGAGAGTAACTGGCAAATACCCTGCCTTTTTTAACAAGCGAAAACCCACGGTGCAGGTCCTTGTTTGGGGATTTGCATTGTTTGAGGCTTTGGACATTTGCAGTGTTGCCGAGATTTCGGAATGCTGCATCACAGGCTTTTCCCCCCTCCCAGAAACAAAACAAGAGTCCTAACCGACCCCTCTGACGGACTAGCTTTCCCTTGGCAACGCGCCGCGCACATCCTTTTCTAAGCCGGGTTGAGATTTCCTGACCGAAAGGGGAAGTACGCCAACCAGTCAAGGGGCACTCAAGCAAAGAAATGCTTTGACCCAGCTGTTCTCCCCTAGGTCAGCTACACCCCCGGTGAAGCAAAAAGTTTGGGTTTCATTCAAAGCGCCCTTGGATTCTGTGCACGTCGGCACCCGCCAACCCCGGGAAACCCACTCGGAAGTGTTTGCTTCATGGGGTGCCGCGTAGCTGACCTAGGGGAGAACAGCTGGGTCAAAGCATTTCTTGAGTTATTCGAGATAAGACACTCTCAGGAAATCATGACCCTGCACCCCAACGGAGTTTGACAACTTCTCACTTTTGAGGTCTTCGAAATGACGACCCCGTTTTCGGACTGAACCTCCTCACCAAAGCCAACACGTCGCCAAGGTTGCACATAGGGCCCCTTGGATGACCTGATATGTAGGCTCAGGAATTTGGTTAAAGTTTGACAGAGATTCATCTAAGGTTTACCTCACCCTTTTCACCCATCCGTCTGTTCAGAAATCACAACCCCGTTTTTTTTTTTTTTTGTGTGTGTGTTTTGTGTGTTTGCTTTTATTTTTAGTATCATGATTATTATTGTTTCAATGTTGTGAGAGAACGATCCCTGCACAGAAGTGACGCACAGGTAGCGAAGACGCGGAGCGAGCCGCGGACATAGTTTGTGGGATTGTTCAGGTTGCCTCTTGTTGTGCAGATCAGTACAAAGCTCGGGTCTCCTCCAAAACTATTTTGTATGTTTGGGTAGACTAAATCTAAGACATATTCAATGATGATGTTCTTGTATCCCAGATGTGGACCACTACAGTCTGTCCACCATAGGAGCCAGAACAATTAGAATGAGGTTGCGGGATACCCTACAACCATTCTTCAGTCATGATCATAGGAGCAAAGGCCAGGAACTATTTAGCCCCTCATGTTCCATTATATCGGGGTTGATCAATATTCCTGGCCCCCAAATTTGATCATGGGCAGCTTTTTGCCATTTAGTGGTGAAAGTCATCTTTCTTTTTGACAGGTTCCCAAATTTAGTCATCCAAAAAAAGGACCTTTTGATCAACCCCTGTTTTTGTTTGGGGCCGCCATCCGCAGAAGTAGCAGGGACGACACGCTTAAAACTTAAATCCGATCTTGCGAGGGCCACAGACGACTAGGTCCCCCAGCAATTGGTGCCCTTTTACCGTTTCTTTTTTGGTTGGGAGGGTTCCCCTACTAAAATAGACCACAGAAAGAAGGGTACCAACTTATTCTAACCTGTCTACTGGAGGACCTAGGTTGAGTTTGCAGACTGTTTTTTTCTTGCAGGAGTCTTCGTCATTTTAGCCCAGGCCCAACAAGTGGTTGTTTTTCCCGTCCAGTCAACTCAGCTGGTCAGTCATGAGGAAATCCATTTTTTTTCCGGGGGTCGGAATCCCATGAGCTTGGCAGAACAATATATCGATTGGGTGTCATGTTTGTCAGGTACCCATTTGCTTGGTTGTTTTAAAGGGAGATCAACAGGAAATCACCTGGTCTAGGGGTTCCCCTATTTTGAGACACACCACAATAGGTGCTAAACATGTGATTTCGACAAGGCAAAGGTATAGTCTACGCGCCTCATGGGGATTCCGACCCCTGCCAAAAAAAACAAAAAAACAAAAACAAAAATCTGGATTTCCTCATGACTGACCAGCTGAGTTGACTGGAGAGGAAAAACAACCTCTTGTTGGGCCTGGGCTAAATCATGAAGACACCTGCAAGCCAAAAACGAGACAATACTTTTGCCTTGGTTAGCACCTATTTTGGTGTGTCTCAAAGTAGGGGAACCTCTAAAACAGGTGATTTCCTGTTGATCTCCCTTTAAACAAACAAGCAAACGGGTACCTGACGAACATGACACCCATTCGATATATTGCTCTGCCAAAGCTTGCTGTTTTTCAGCAGGGAAGGAGGGAATGCCCCTAATAAACCATCCCCTATTGTTTCCATTCAGGGAATCGCTAGGCTCATTGCCAACACAGTGGATCATTCCCTAAGAATTGTGCTGCATGAGCGGGGAACAGTTGCCTACAACTTCCATTTGCCCCTAAGACAATTTTGTATTTCCCCTGGTCTTGAAGGGAGTATATCTCTAGGGGTACCTTCCCCATTCTTTCCAGGGATCCTTCTTTCTAGAAGACCTCCTTTGAAACCCAGGTTGAAAACGGATCCGGTTTTTGGAAATAGATCCGATGGCTGAAAAGAATGGGGAAAAGGAATCAGCCCCTAGAAGGAACCAAAGCAAGAGGGCGGTAGCCTATAGATATCGGTTTCGGGGAGGAGGAGCTGGGGCGCGGGGCTGGGGGCCATGCGGGGAAAATTCGAAGCATGAACTTGGAGACCCAAGAAGTCCGGTTGCCTTTGCTTTTGGCTGATCTCGAATGTGGCTGGGTTGTGAAGTTGTCTAGGAATTCATCGTGATAAATCTTTTGTGTTAGACTTGGCAAGTGTCAAGTAACATCGCGTGCTCATAATAATAGCGGCCGAGGGTCCCTTTAGAACCCGCTTGGTGAATAGCCACAGTTCACCCATATCAGTGCACCTAATAACGCCAGGTTGGGATGTCTTGCGGCCATTGCCACTTGCCCCCCCGTTTGTTTTTGCCTTGTCGGCGAATTTTTTTTTCGATCTCGCGGGGTGGTGAGGTCCATTGCGCCTTGCTGCTTCAGAATGTCCGGGGCCTCAGGGCCCCAGTGATCACGCGACTCGGGTTTTAGGGGGAAGCTCGATTCAGAGCTGTGTATGGCGCCCTTTGGCCCCTAATGGAGTTTTCCTCCCTTTCGTCCTAAGCCACTCGTTTTGGCCCCACCATCACACTGCGCCTTGGCAACTACACAGGTCCTGTGTGTGTTCTTGGTTGGAAGGGGGCCGGCTTCCGGAGCCGGGGAAAGGTCAACAAGTCTCTTAGAGGCGTTCGGAGGAATTGGGACACGGGTTTGGGGTTGAACGCCTGACTAATTCGGACACAGGTTCGGAGGAATTCAGTCACAGGTTAGTCCCAGGTGTTCTTTTTTAGGTTGGGTTGGTTGGAAATGGATGGGTTCCACTGGTTGAGACGGGTTTCAGGCCCCGTTGGGGAAGGCCCATCTGCTTTTCCACAAGGACGCCTGTGCTTCGCAGCGTGCGTTTCGGTTGCCACGCTGCGTGCTCAATAGCCGCACAAAGCTGATGCTCTGTCAGCACAAATGGCTGTGCTACGTCGAGCGGCATACCCTAAAAAGCCGCGAGACTTGCGCCGTACTGTTGACTTTACCCGGAAATGACGCACTTTACGCGGAAAAGCGAGACGGTTTATGCGGAAACACACGGTCGGGAAATTCGGGGCGCTGCCGAGGGCATTTCTCTTGTCGATATCCAGGGTGAGCACGCAACCGCTGACGCGGAACGATGCACAATATTCCAATTGGCACCAGCTGGGATGGGTGATTCATCCAAGTGGATTCCCAACCAGCCGATTGGGCCAATTGGAATTGGAATTGATTCAACCAGTTGGGATGTGTATTTCTGGAGTCGATCCCCCTTTTTCATCCAAGTGCTGTATTTCTTGAGGCGATTCCCTGTTTTTTGGGCGGGTTTTAGAAGCCACAAGGAGGACCAAAGCCCAACCCAAGTTGCGAGTGGAGCTTTTTCCCGTGAGCCGTGGGAGCAGAGGACACTCCACGGGAGCCGGGGAAGTTGTGCCCGTTTTTTTTTTTTCTTCGGGGGGCGTTAAATGGAAGCCAACATTGGAGTGAATGTGCCACCATTCGGAGTGTATGTGGACACAACCACTTGCTAACGTGGTCCAACATCCAAGTATGCACCACTTTCGTGGCAACTTACCTCTTAAAAACAAAGAACTGTAAAAGATGAACACTTTTTCCAGGGCTTGGAGTTTTAAGGGGTAAGAACAGGAAAACCACAAGTATTTGGAGGGGTTCCCTAAAAATGGGCTGTGGCTCAAAATTAAGCAGGAGGGGCAAACTGCAGGTTTTGGTCCATGTTTCTTTTTTTTTTACCAGGGCAACCCATTTTGGTACCGGTTTTTTGAGCCACAGCCACATGACAAATCACACAGGGGTGTGTGCTTCTGTTGAGGGTGCGTTTTTGAGGACAGTATGTCTACTTTGCTACTTCAACGGCATTTTCTTTCAGTGTAGCTCCACATGAGAGGGAGAGGGATGCCCTTAGGCTCCGAACATGAGTGGCACGCTGCTCTAACTTTCTAATTCTCGAATTATTTATGCTCCGGCACATTCAACATTGCCAAAACTATGGCACTATTTGAGGACCTCTGTCATTTGGTTGTCGCCTTCAAAAAGACGGTCGAACCATGGCTACCATGCCGTTGCTGGGAGTCTGGGGTTTCCCTGCCCTGCCACCGCAAGCAGGGATGCGAAAACTTTGACACGTTTGGTTGGCAATCCTTGTTTGCTTGTTGTCTTTTCTATGTGTGTGCGTGCGTATATGTATAGGGTATGTTTCTTCATCACTTTGGCAAAGGCCAAGCAGCTTGTTTTTTTGGCCAGCTCGTGGAAAACTGGGGTTCGCCCAGGCCTCCAAAGTCAGCAGAACGCATGATTTGTGCCCCTCAATTGGTGGTTTGTATTGGTGGTTTGGGAATTTGAAGCCCAATTCATTTATGAAGCCGAGTGGGGAAGATGGGCTGTCGGGCTGTTGGGACAGAGAGTTCCCGGTCCAAACCACCACACCAAACCAACCAGGGGTAAGGTGATGAGTGGCTTTTCGTACACCGAAGTCGGGCCAAGCTTTGTGCCTCTTTGGCAGAACGCCTTACATTTGCTTAAGAGTATGTTTACCTTCCATTGTTGGTTTGAAAGGGAAACTATGACTATCACCTTCCATTTGCTTTTGAATATGTTTTATTTTTCCCCTGTTGGTTTTAAAGAGAATCTATCACTACTGTTTTTTTTGGCTTAAGCAAATGGAAGTCACTACTGGACATATCGTCTCGTTTTTTCCGGGCGGCGAAAAAGCAAATGGAAGCAACTTGCTTGCTTGAGGTCGCTTCCCAGAAAGCCCCGAGCTCGGCACGTCTGGGCGGGGTGTGTCGAAACTGGTTGGCTTGGACTCGGACGTGTGTTTTCTGTGCGGGTTATCGGTGGGAAATCAATTTCGGGGGTTTGGGGTTTGGGTGAACCGGTTCATCTAGTGATCTAGTTATCAGGTTTTGAGGAAAGAAAAGAAGCGGAAAGGGAGTTTCCTTACAGACAAATCCACAAGGAAGGCTTCAAAGGTTCGAGGAAACACAACTGGAAACCTCTGGTGGGTCTGCAGCCAATTGATTCCAAATTGTGTGGCTGGGACACTTTGCGGCTTTGAGCAAGTGAGCTGGACATCTGGGGAGAATGTAGCAACCTCACAGAGTCACAGGGCCTGGCTTCCTGAATCTGTCAGGAGGTTTCCATGCACCAGGCGGTAACGGTTGATCTGGTTAGTTGCGCAAGACCTTTACATAGGTTGATTTTGTCACGCCCATATATGACTTTTGAACCCCTTGGGTGTCTTGCCTGCAAGTAAGCCATCAGTTAATCAATTAATCAACGGGTTCATGCCAGGGCTTTATATATGGAAGGCTCATCGTTTTGGAGGGTTCCCCATTTGGAGTGGTTTTAACGGGAAACCGAGAGGGGGTCCCAGCCATTCTTGGGGGTCCATACTAAAGCGAACCCATGTGGCTTCATACCTTCAGTCCAGTCCAATCCCGCGACCCTCAGGGCTATGTTTCCCTCGAGTCTGGTTGCTCCCAGGTCCACCGCGTACCGGCAGAGCGTGCCCGGAGCGCCCGGAGTGTTTTTGGCATCGAATCATGGCCGAACAAAAAATCTTGGATGACGCCTAACGCTACTAACTGATGATTAGAAGGGAACCGTTCCGGAACGGGGGATATCCAATTTTACCTCTAAACAGGGAACCTTTTGGAACCACCAGAAATTCTACAAGGACATGATAGACTAGAATTATCGTGAGGCGACCTGATCAGAAAGCTCCTACCCGTCTCAAAAAGATCTCAATTTGACCGCCCCGATGACCTTTAACTCGGATTCTCAAGATTACGATGAACCCTTTCCAAACTGAAAAATGAAAAATTATAAACCCCCCGAATTTTTGGAGAGGGCTATTCCAAACCTTATAACCAAAACACATAACTGAGACTCCATTGACCCTCCTGAGAAACCACCCCTTCCCAGAGTTTCTTACTTCATTCAGATGCGAAGTGCGAGCCGACTGAGTTGGTACCGCGCTTATGGAGGTGATGCCCCATTGAGTGTAGTTTGAGGGTCCAGGTACCCTCCCCCAGACTAACATGGAAGCTCCCAGGACCCCTTTGGAGGACTTGGTTCCATTTACATTTTGGTGCATTTTACTTGTTAAACCACAAAAGACAAACTTTTAGCAGGGGGAGCAGAAAGCAACCGAGTTCCAAGAAATGACAGCTTCCCCGTAGGTTCGTGGCGCAGCGCAGGCTGGGCGCCGTGACATCTCTCTCTGACGGTTTCTGGGGCTCGTCTCAACTGCCGTGGAATGTGTCTGGCGTCTTGAAAACGGGGCCTTTGTTTTGGGGTAGATTCCATTTCTAGCCAGATGGTAACCAGAAAACACCATCATGAAACCTGGTGACCTAGTACAGCGGGAACTGGAAGCGCGCAGTTAGATGTTGGATTTTGTATACTGCGATTTATGTTGGGTAATTAGACAGAAGTATTTTCTTTCGGCTGTTTGGTGTGGCTGAGTCAGTCTGTTTTGCACCTTTCAATGGAAACAAGTTTGCCTTTTCCAGCAAACCTGCAACTGGATCGTGCAACCTAGCTTCCGAGAATCATATGTTTCTTGTATATTCAACTCTTCGTGGGCCCAGGTCTGGCAGTGGTGCCGCTTTCTTCCGTCTTTGAAGCGGTTTCCCTCTGACTTGAAGCAGGTGTGTCTTTTTCGGGGACAGCCGCCTTTGGTTTTGGGAAGCCACAATAAAAAACGGACATGACATTTGGGTGTCCAAATCCTAAAAAGAGACACGCCCTTCCAAATAGAGGCTGCTGTTGGTACTTTTGCCCCAAGGCGGCCCATGACCACGGTCCTGGTACGTCTGAGATTTGGCTCATGGCGACCTCACTTCAGATGTAGGAGCCATTTCACTGGCATATGGGTGTGGCTCAAAATTAACCAGGAGGGGCAAACCACAGGTTTTCGTCCATGTTTCCACTTACCAGGGCAACCCATTTTAGAATTCCGTTTTTTTTTTTGAGCCACAGCCATATATCTTCCAGACCGTGGACCCCCCCCCTCCCCCCGGCCGAAAGGGGGCGGGGGGAAGGGGGACGCAAATTTTGGGGGGGGAGGGGGGCGGGGTTGTTGGTGGCCTTGGGACTGGAGGACTGGAACATATATTCATTGAGAACCCAGTTGAAAGCCATCCGTTTTTTTTTGTGTTGTTTTTTTACTTCTACTTGGGTCTTCGATTCGCCAAGTTAGTATGTTGTGATCGTAGCCTGAGCTGTAGCCTGCTTGTAAGTGTTTGGGGTGTACCCCAAGGTGGCCAACCACTTACTTGGATGATCGACCAAGATAGCAAGTGGTTAGCCACCTGGGTTACAACTCAGTAACAAGGTTCTACTGAACGGGGGACTTAGAAGCAAATTATAACTCAGGTCACGATCACGACTTACTAACTTGGCGAATCGAACATCCCAGAGGTCCAGTACGGACGCATACACCGCGGCGCCGGCGCGGGGCCCTGCCCCGCCCGGGTTTGGGTAGGGCATGCAGCCAGGTTTGGGTTCGTCACAAAATCGGAATCGGTGCCCCCAAAAAGGGATCGTTTTCCTTGCTCACCTTTGGTTTCCCTGATGTGACCTTTTGGTTTCTCAGTTTGGGGGGCTCGTTTACAATCTTTCGTGACCTTGTTGGTTTTCCTGAGTTGGTCCGTTTTTAGTCAAGGTTCCAAAGCAGTCCATCTTGTGGTTCTGGGTCCAAACTGGGCACCTGAGCTTCGGTTTCCCTGCAACCAACCCAACCAAGAGCGGGGGCTTCCCTTGTACTCCAGTTGATGCCCCAAGGGGATACCCTGGATTTACGTCTTCGTTGGGGGAATAATGGAGCTATTGGCTTGCTTTCTTTCACACGCGGAGCACACAGCCGACTTTGAGATGAGTTTAGAGTTTGGAATAGTGATATATCCTACCAACAAGAACTTTTTTGCCGATCTATGAACCACTCAAGTTGGTTGCTTGGTTTGACCTGAAACCTTTGAAGCTTATGGAACTTGACGCAGATCATTGCCTCACTGACAGGGAACCCTGATTACTACTGTTCTGATTAATCCAAAGTTAACTTTACTACTGTTTCTGGCCTTGACTCCTTTTGTTTGAAGCTTTGGGTCTGCTCCACCCCATTTTGTGGTAGACCAAACATGCGCAGAACCTGAAGATCTGATGTTCTGTGTACCCCTTTGCAGGCCAAGCCTTTCAGCGGGTCCCAAGAAAAATATGACCTGTCAAGATGCCTGGGATGCCTGGCGCAGAGGCAGGCCCAATTCGAATCGACCGCTTGACCTTCTGGTTTTCCCTGTTTGGTCGATGTTTTAGCCACGACCCCAAGGGTTAGCCTTTTATTTCGAGAAGAAAGTAGGGTTGTCCCCCCTTGCAAATGCAACATAGTTTCTTCACCCGTTGGGTCCGTTGTAGTGGGACACAAAAAGTTCAGACTTGTTCTCCTGTGAGGAAGTGAGGACAGTAGCACCCCATCCCCTTTTTGGCTGGCCAATGGGTGTGTGGAGCTGGAGAATGAGGTTGGTTGCCTCCAGAAACCATTCCAAATCGGAAAGCAACCAGTCCCTGCCCCAGAAACCCCGTGGGTTGGGTTCCCCCTTTTTTCAACTTTTTCCGGAGGGGGGGAAACAGGACACCCCTTAAATTCAACGACTTACGCTTCGCAAGGGCAGCGCTCAAGAAAGTCGATCTTGTGTAACGGGAATTCACCCACCAGGGGACCGCAGGTTTTAGTCCATATTTCCATCCATTTTGGATACCTACTTTTGACCCGCAGCCAAACATGCTGAGTATAGATGTACCAATCATGCAATCAATGTACCCGGAGCCCTCATGTGGGCGTGTTTTGGGATGCTCAAAAGGTGGCAGTTTCTTTCCTTGTGATTTCCCCACCAACACCACCAAACACCATGGCGCCCTCAAGCAAAAACACACACGCACACATACGGCTTGACGAGCTTTGGTGTGCTTTGATGGGCTTGCAGCGGCTCATGGACCTGGGCGGGGACGATTGACCCCGAATCATTCAGCGCTGTTGATTCCCGAAATGGCTGTGGGGGTCAAAACCCTTTTGGATCCCATTTTGGGGGATTAGGTGAATTCACCACCCATTTTAGAGCCTATTTTTAGTGGTTGGATTGGGTCCCGTTGACTGGGGGTAATTACGGGCTTTTGACCCATGGCCAAATTTATTTCCGCCGTGCATTGCCAGGGTTTTGTGTTGGAGTATGGTCTACTTGCAACCTTTGCAGCATCCGCGAGTGGCCTGAGCGTAGGCCTAGTCAGGGAGAACCGTCAGTGGAGGTCTGACGCGTTTCAGAGGGTTTCAAGTCAATCGCAATTAATACCCTTCCGCCCACATTGCCATGGTAGACAAAAAATGAAACTGCTCTTCCAAGTGTAGAAACTCCTTTGAGGCTGCTGCTGTGACTGAATATCAGTGTAGAAACCTTGTTGCAAGCCATTCCTCTTGCTTCCTCCAAATAGAGCCAGAGGCATGCACTTCAGGACCATGGCCATTGGCGAAGCTATGGACAACCTATACACGAGCTGGAACCCAACTAGTGATCCAGAATTTTCCAGCAGCTTCAGCCCGCCTTCGTCCGGCACAAGGACCCTTCCTTAGGGGTCCAGCGGTTTATCCCGGGGTACCACCTGCGGTGTATCTCGTGCCCCGGTCGTGTCGCATCGGTGGATTTGCTGAGGTCTTTTCGGAGCACCAGGAGATTTCGATGCTTGGCCGAAGCTGCCGAGTTGAAATGGCGGAGATTTTTGTTTTGGAGTTGGTGCCAGGGCCATAGAACTACCCCTGAACATATATAGTATTGCCAAGTGGCAAGACCACTTAGACGTTCGCAGGGTTGGACCTCCGTTTTGAGCGTCACTTGAGCCCAGGGAAAGCATCGTGTTATTTTCAGACGCGCCGAGAGGCTGGGTGTTCCTTAAGAGAGGGTGATGTGCAGAAGGGGATTGCGATTTGCTGTTGCGCTTACCGGAAAACCATTAAAGGAAAGGTTTTTTCTTTTTGGAAAACACGCCATGTATAGAGTTCACAAAGCAAGGCAAGCCGTCAGGCAGAGGTCGCCAGGGTTCGGAGGATGTGTAAGGCACCAGCGTTGGGTCAGAAAGGGCTTTCAACCGAGCTTGCCCGTGGTTTGGATTTTGATTCGAACCCTGGTTCTTGTAGAGAGTATATAAATGCGAAACTACCCTTAACCGGACTCCAAACCTCCAAACCAACAGCTTATAGCATGTTTCTCCTATGATCACTTTGATTTGGGTTTGGCGGTTTGGAAGAACCCAGCACTCCTTTCGACGTTCGAACTATTCGAGCCCTTTCAAGAAGACATGGCCCGTACTTGGGTGTTCGGCCAAGTTAGTAAGTTGCTAGGAACCTGAGCTATAGCCTGCTTATGGGTCGCCCTAAGTAGACTTCACCTTGTTCTTAGTGAGATATAACCCAGGTGGCTAACCGCTTACTATCTTGGCCAAACATCCGAGTAAGCATCATTTGGCAGAACGACATTCAACTCTCAGGAGAGAGCCGTCAGAATGAAGCTCGGAGCTATCTACACCCCAAAGAGTGGAACTCGTCACTCGGAGTCCACTGGACACAACGGAGTTCACGCGGGTTTGGTCGACCTCGCCGCAATTCAAACTCTCTCGGAACAATCGTCCGCAGCAAAGTTGTCGAGGGCACCTCCGAGAGTCCTGTCGGCTACCTGTCACAGAACTACTTCCGGGATGGTGAAGGAAACCGGCGGTGCCGCTACAACAATGTGGCGAAGCTGTTTCTGGGGGAAGCTCGGTGCTTCGGCTCACTTCGCGTAGAACTTCCTGCTGCTTTGAGAAGGGAGACGTCCACTTCTATGATGTTAGTCTTTCTGGGCCGAACGATAATTTCAAAGCGCGTAAATCTAGGTCATTTTTCCGGATTTGTGCTGGTTTCGAATTTGTTAAGAATTTGTTTAGTATCTGTGTAGGATTGGTTCTAAAGTGTTCCCCAATGGGAGTGGAGATGAAATTCGCTGGAATTGGTTCCCCAGTAGTGCCCTTTTACCCTTTCTTGGGGGAGGGTTCCCCTAATAAAATAGACTACAGAACGAAGGGTACCCGTATTTCTTCGCCTTTCGCCGTGCGACCAGCAGAGAACCCGCTGGCTCCTAGGCACGAGAGCATGCCGGCAGAGGCACGGGGAAGGGCTGAAATATGAATTCCAACTGGCAACCACCCTCCAAAGTGGTTTGTGGACATAAATCCCTGGCCAAATGTTGTCCACTAAAGTGTTTTTCATAGAAAGCGAAACTTAAATAATTCGACCGGGTTGCAGGGCACTTTAAAGCCAAGCTAAGTCATGCTCATAGGAACAAATTCCACATTTGCTTCTATCATGGAGACCGAAGCCCCAACGAATCCCCTTAGGCCTCAGAGTCTCTTTGGGTCAACTTAAGGCTGTACTGGAAATCTCTCGCGTGATGGAGGAGGGCTTGAGTTCTTTATTGTCACTGTAGGTCCGTTTGTTTTTGAGGGTACCCCTTCTTTGTGATGTTGTGGCTTTAGACGAAGATCCAAAAGACTTGGGCCGTAAAAAGACACACCCGTGTTTCCCCTTTGCACCATGCGCGGTTTGAGGGCGCAGGTCTGAGGGGGCCAAGCCCCGGGAAGCACGCACGGCGTAGCGATTTCAATCGCCATCCGTTTTGGATCTTTTGGTTTTAGAAGCGGTTTTTCCCACTAAGCCTAAAGATCCAATGGCCTGCTGACCTCACGGCCTGGGAGCAACGAGAAGATCGGAGGAATCGTGTCTGGCTCAGGCCTTCCATCGAACACAAGGAAGCCAACTCCCAGTGGGTTTTTGCCAGAGACTTCCATTTGCGTGAAATCTATTCAATGACCTCGTTATCTTAAGGGGGAAAAAACAAACAAACAACCACTGGACTATGTTCTCATTTCTTCCAGGGGGCGAAAAGCGCAAATGGAAGTCGGACTCTCGGTTTGGTGTGGGTCCCCTTTTCTGGACTCGGCGACCCAGGGACCCGGCCGACTCTTCGGTTGCAATCGCAGTTCGGATGAAGGGGTGGGTTTTCGGGAATCTCCGCATTTATGTGTTATAACTATTCTAGTTAGTCTAAGTGTTCCATTTTTCTAATATTCCCAAAGGGATGGGTGCCTTTGGGGAATTGAAGGTTCATGTTTCGAAGATTTTGAGGTGAACATCAAGTTTTGCTGGGCGACAAATGCATAGGATGCTCGGCCAAGTTAGCAAGTGGTTAGAACGCACTACTAACAAGGTTAGTTCTGCTCAGGACTTGTAAGCCATTTATGGCTTGGGTTTCTGATAGCTCGCCAACTTGGACTCGAAAACCCAAGGACGCTCAAGGAACACTCCTCATGGACGGGTCCACGTAGAGCCCCTCTTGGAAACCAATGGGTTTCCCACCCCGAAACAAATGGCTGGTCAAAACCCTGGTACCTGGTACCCCCTACTCCTTTAAAAACCGACTAAACAAAAGGGGGTTACCCCAAAAACGGCTATCTGGGTTTTGACCCACCCCGACATGGGGTTGCTTAAGAGAAGAATCTTCGAAGGTGCGTTCCTCCCAGTCCCTCCAGGGATCATTATCTTTATGGCCCAAAACCCACGGAAAGAGATGGAGGACTAAGCGTCGGACGAACAGCAATCCCCTTTGCCCGGAGGCGCCAGCGCCGCATTCGCCGCACGGTCTGCAGGCCTTTGCTGAGAACGCCCATCCGTGTTGCCTCAGCAATCGGCGGGCTGAAATGTGTGCTTCCAATATCTTGCTTCTCAAACCAAGGGTTTCGGCATTGAATCTAAGTCCCTCAGAGGAAAGCATAAGGGATGGTTATTTATTGGGGTCGTTCACGATTTGGTTTCCCTCATGAACCATCCAAGAAGGGCCCTTGCTTTTAAAACACACCCTAATGAGCCCCGATAACCAGTAGTGAATCCTGGGAACGGACCTGCGACAATTAATTCATGGGGGGAGGGAGCCCTAAATAAGCCCCTATTAAGCCCTTAATAAGGCCCTATTTAAGGCTCCCTCCCCCTCCCCTCCCTCCCCGCCAGCCCCAATGATTAAGCAACTTGCGACTTGTGGCCCGTGTTCCCCTTGATATCAACCAACAACTCGCACAACTTGGTCAAGGTAACCCCTCCTGAAGCAGACCCTCAGAACGGCAACCAAGTCACAAGGGTAGAACATATGATGATGCATGGATCAGGTCACTTGCGACCTTTTCAACTTCTATTTGCTGAGATGTTTTTCAATTTTCCCCTGTTGGTTTTAAAGGGAGTCTATCGCTGCTAGAAATATATGGCTGTGGGTCAAAACCAATGGTACCATTTTGGGGTAGGTGAATTTACCACCCATTGTAGTCTATTTGAGTGGTTGGATCGGGATGTTCACTGGGGGTACGGTAGTTTGACCCATGGCCATATGTTTCTTTTTCAGTAGGCGAAAAAACGCTAGTGGAAGTCCATCTTGGGCAACCTCCAAAGAAGGCAACCTGGTGAGCCAGCAGCGGCAGCACAGCTCCAAAACCCTCAGCCGCGCTTCCCCTAAAGACAACCCCGGGGCTGGTGTTTCGGTGTCCCCTCGAAGGGGTGCGTGAAAAAACAAGCACATGCCCAGACGATTGTTGTACCATCCTCTTGGTCTCCCTGTGTGGTTTTATTGGTGTGCGCCATGCTGTTGCCCAAATCAGCGGTGCTCCAAACAGCCGAAAATTGGCCGCTGGGATCTTAGAAGCAAATCATGGGGTTCAAGCAGGGCCTCTTTATTGCAAAGAATGGGCTTAAACGCTCCAATGTAATTCCAGCGCAAATCCGTGTCCTTCCAAGGCGAATCAAGCTAGTTCCACTTCAACTTTCCGATGAACTTTCTTTTCGTCTGGCCTTGATTTTCACTGGGGCGCGCTGGAGAATCACTGGAATTTCACTGGAATGGCACTGGAATTTTGCGAGTGGTGGCACTTTCCGTTGGAACCGCACTGGGTTTTCAGTGGAGTGGCATGTGATTTTTGCATTGGAGTGGCCTGTGATTTTCGCTGGAGCGGCGCGGGTTTTTCGCGGGCGCTGGATTTTTTTGCTTGGTTTGGTTGGGGAAGCCGAAGGGCAACCATCCGTTTTGGGGGATGAGACAATCTCGTGGGGCGACTTAGGGAAGCCAAAGCCGAACCATCAAACCCAAACCATCCGAAGGCTGTTGGGCTAGTGGGCCGTGGGAGAACGCGCGAATTCTGCGGAAGTTTGAGTGGTGTTGGCTTGATACTCTTACCTCTTAAAAACACAACTTTTCAACTTTTTGGGTAACATGGGCTATATGTCTGTAACAGATTAACTTCCCCAGGGCTTGGAGTTTTAAGGGGTAAGTACTGGTGCCACTTGCCACTGGAGCGGCCTGGTTCAAAGCGGTCTATGACGTTGCCCATTGATAGCAATCTGTGCGGAAGTTCTTGAGTCAACATGCCAATCCTTTGAGATTCCAACCTGCAGAGGGAAGAAGGTCAATGGCCTGTGTGGGGTCCTATAGATTGAACATGGTGAAGGTGACACCATTGCCTAACTCAAAATTAATTACACTCACTAGGGTATTACATTGGACTTGTCGCGAAACCAGCTTCGAAGACCTGAACAGGATGCTGCAAAACTCTTGGCAGTCAGTTGTTCGCCGAAGCCATAATTCGGGAAAACCAGTATGCATGGTGCCAAGAGCCTGACATTCTTAAAACGCAGAGTCTTGAATGCCAAGAAAAGCCGGAAGCGAAGGCAACACTTCCGGTGAGAGTCACAGCATTTCAAACTGACATGGTGAAGCATAAATACAAGCCACATGTGTCAAAAACGAGCAAATGTTGCAATGTGCAAACAATGCAAAAGCAGGAATCGATACCTCCCACTTGGAGGTGCTGGCAACCACGCCCATTTGACCTTTGGTACCCGCAAGTGACCTGGAAACCCAATCTTCGCGTAAATCCTATGCGCCATTCGGCTGCCGTTTCCTGAAAGGATTTTTTCCGAAATGTGGAATTTTGATACAGATGGGAGCGCCTCAAAAACACCCTCTCCGAGTTGAGAGACACCGTTTTACACGTAGGACAGACTAAGTCCGGTGATATTTTAACGCACTTAACGTGGCTTCGTGCCGGGAGATAAACGCATTTACAGGGTGGAGTTTTGTGCAACAGCCTATGCTTCAGCTTGGGCTGCTTCGACTGAGAGGAAAGGTTCATAGCAACAGTAAATGCTCTGTCGGTGTGACGCATCACACCCCAAAAACCCTGACCCTAGAGCTTGTTGGGCGGCCCCAAACTATGGCCTGAAACGCTTTGCCTGTAATGTTGCTAAATGATGCAGGGAGCATGAGGTTGAAATCATGAAGGTGGCCGCTCACACCGACATAGCTGCTCTGGGAAGTAATGAGGCACCAGGATAAAGCGGCAAAGCTAGCCAGGAATAGGTTCAACGAGCCAACGGGGACCTTCTTAAACAGCTTAGAAAGGCGGTTGATACAAAATGAGGTGGGCTCAACACGCTCTCTGAAAATTATGAACAGAGTTGCGCGCCTACGCAAACTCTTCCAAAGATCAGCCAAAGGCAAGGGTCAGAGCAACAAAAAGTTCCTGGCTTCGCAAGGCTGGGATAAGGCTGGGGCAGGGACGACTGGAAACTTTTTGATCTCCCAGCTTAAGCTTAGTAAACTGAAGCACATCACTATAGTTGTTTGTGGGTGCAACATACTTCGTGAGGCTACATGCGTGGCTGTCTTCGCTAAAGTGGCCGGGGACGGAGCAAGGAATCTAGGAACTACACAAAGGCCAGCGCAAGCTCTTCCTGAGCAAAGTGACGTGGCGCAATTCTTGGAGCAAAGAACTTCACTCGTTCAAGGCCAGCCTGAGGACAACTCAGAGAATCTTGAGTCCCACTCTTTCCTTGCGAGCCCGAAAACCGTGCCGCTGTATTCAATGGGCTAACTATCAAGACGCTCGGCGCGGTTTCGCACCGCCCGAGATTGCCACACCAGAGCCTCATGGGGTTGCTCCGGGAAGCCGCTGAGGTGACTCGTTGCTTGAGCGCCATGGAGGCCCTCGTGCGCATTTCGCTAGCGCCAGGGGACCTCCCCGAATGTGCAGAAGCGCGGCGGGAAAACTTCGCTGCGTGGCGCAAATAGACATGGACAGCGACGCATCTCACTCTCGGGGGTGCGTCGTTCGTATGGCGCGCGGGCACTTCTTAGTCACGGCCCCAAAAACCTGGAAAATCTCCAGGTCCTTTGCGCCACTGAAGGACCAGCAGAGGGAAGAAAATTCGGCGACATGCGCAAGCGCCTCTCCAAACTGTTTTCTAGATCCGAGAACAGCTCGGAGACCTGGGCTTGCGATCCGCAACTCCGTTGGTTGGCCCTTTTTGGGCGACCTCTGCCAATGCTGGGTCTTGTCTTAAAATCGGGTACCCTCCCCAAAGAAAAAGTGAGTTGCTCCTCGTGATTTCCTTTCAAAGCACTCCTTAAACGAGGCAAAGCACAGCCAAAAAGCAAAGGGAAAACAACAACAGACCTACATGGTGACCAAGCATCTTGCCAGCAGTTGGGGTGGCTTTGCGGGCCTCCAAAAAGGGGGTATCTCCAAAACGAAAAAAAAAAGGACATGACGGAGCTACGGCGCTTTGCTTAAACATACGTTTGTTTGTGTTTTAAACATATTTCCCTTGTTGGCTTTTATATACAAAGGGATTCTGTCGCCGGATTTTTCCAGTGGCCCTCAGCGCCGGTTTTGGAGCTCGCCGCTTCGCGAGGTCCCATCGGAAAGGCCCCGCCCACCCGCCTTGTCGGATCCGGAATCGCCCGGGGGCCTTGACCTTTGACCGGCGGGAAAGCAGCGGGTCACCGGGTGGTCATTTAGGTCAGCTTGGTTGAGGAGCGATTGTTATTTTAGTAAACGCCCTTGAGTTTTGCATCTGGTTTTATATTGAACAAAACAACGCCGCGGCTGTTTATACAAACCCAGTGTCAGGTTGGTGGGAATTAAAGGGGTCGTACTGGTTTCAGTTTTGCTTCGAACTGTTTGCCAGTGCCATTTCGTTGTCCAAAAGAACCAAAGTTTCCTGCTTAGGCAGCTGATCTGGAAGTCAAACACCTCCCGCCACGGCATGCTTCGCCACTGTCGGCGTGGGCGTGAAGCCACCCCCCAGCGGCTATGTTTGGGGCAATTCTTGGCTACTAGCATTGCAGCGTAGCCATGCAGCAGCGCAAAGAGTGGGACGCTGGGTGGTTCCCCGACTTGTTGTTCCCGGACCACCTCTGGTCCCAGCCGGCTTACCTGCAGGTGGCGGGGAGCATCTCTACCTTGTCAGTGCATTCTCCCAAGGTCACGTTGTTGGCGGCAGTCCAGATTGCGGACATTGCGTCCAATGCGCCAGCCCAGGGTCAGCATGTAGACCGGGAGTTGGTGCAGCTGACATGACCACGTCGTCTGACATGGTCTCTGGAGCCACTGTGAAAAGGGTTTGCTTGAACAAGCAGAAGTGGATCCCGAACATGATGTCGAATCCGGGCTTTTAAATAGGGATATTGGAGTAATCGGAACAAATAAATTTGTTGAGGTTCTAGAAAAGCAAATCCTCAGTTTTGTCCAGGTTTCTATAGTTTGGCGTCCAAATGAGGTCTCTCAAATAGGGGCTAGGGGGGCTGAGTTGCGGGTCCTTGAAGTATCTCAGTTTAGGGTCCTTGATGCGAATCCGCTTGCGTGATGCCCGCCCTGCTGAAAAATATGTTTGAAGGCAGGGGACGGTTGCAAGGTTGCGCAAATTATCACGAGCTCACCGATCAGAGTAAAAGGAGCACAGATTTGTTAACGTCCTTTACAACAAGGGTTTTCCTTTTTGGGTGTGTCCTTGCTTACAAAGGATGTTGTTTGGGTGTGTCTTTGTTTCAAAACACACTTTTCCTTTGGTGCATTTTGCTTGGATGTTAGGACTTTAACTTTTTGCCAACGAATGGGTTTTCCATCATACCACTAAAGTTAAAAAAATATTTTAGAAGGGGAGCAGAAAGCCACCGAGTCTTGGTTTAAGACACCATGCATGCCCTTTTTTTGGGGGTGTGTCTTTGCTTTTACCTTTTGTTTTTTTTGGTTGGGTCTCCGTTTGAAAACACCCTTCTTTGTTTGGAAGAGAAGCCTCTGGAAATCTCAAGCTGCAGGTCCGAGCTGCTGAGGACCAGGAAGACCAAAGGCGCGGAGTTCCCCGGGCGTCCATCCGGGCATCGGAGCATCGGATGTCGGGGGGTTTCTCTGCGCCGTTTAAAACGCAAGGCCCCCGATTAGTGCCCTTTTAAGCCCTTTTGGGGGAGGGTTCCACCACTAAAATAGACTACAGAGAAAAGTTGGTACCCTTATTCTATCCTCTCAAATCTGGAGGACCTGGTTGCGAAATGGGGTCATGACAAGCATACTTTTCGGTCCACCCCCGGTTTTTGAAGGGTCCATGGAAACATTTGTTCAAACGATGTTCGACTCCGGTATCTTCTGAGCACTTGTTGCCTTTTCGTTGTTCCGCTCCAGTTTACCGAAGAAACCGACGAAAATGAGTACCGGTCCAAGCTTGGCAACTGGCTTTTTCTCAATTACGGATTGACAAAATGAGATCCGTTCAGTTGTTCGTTTGGCGAACTGCCCGGGGCCAAACTTTGACAGGCTCAGAAGCGCAAAGGGAGGCGACTTCTTTCTTTACATTTCTTGGGGGCAAAGCGAGCTTCCCAGATCTTAAGTAAGAATTTACAGCAGGATCGATTTTCTTACGTTTCTTCTGCATGGCGAGCTCACCGATTTGGGGTAAAGCGAGCTCACCATGGTAAAGAGCCTTTCTCTTGTTAGGTTGGAAATACTGTAAATTTTACAGATGTCTGTGCTTTGAGCCCCACCGTTTTGGCCCGTGGCAACTATGTTTGCGAGAGCCTCTTTCCAATGAAGTGATGCTTGGCAGCCCACCCGGATTTGGGCACGGTGAGCTGTGGGAACAGGAGCCACAGGACATTTCAAGCACTGAATGTGGAGGAACATGGAGGAACCGACACATCCCCACAGGAGGGGGGATGAACATAGGGAAAGCTCTAAAACTCTTTCTTTTTAACTATGCATCAACAGAGGGTCTATTTTGAGAAACCTCCACAAAGGTGTTAGAATCTAATGTCACTCAGTCTGTACAGTGTACGAGCAGGGATGGAAGAGCATCGTCCAAACGTGGGTGTGTCTCAAAACAGGGCTGCCATCAAACTCCTTGGTGTTCCTTCGGTTTTCCCTACAAGCAACCTCCAAAGTCCGTGGTCTTCCTTCGGTTTTCTGTACAAGGCGACCTCCAAACTCCCATGTCTTGTTGCTCCGGTGTTCCATACAAGCAACTTCAACAGCTCCAAAACGCCGCGGTCACTTCAGCGTCCCGGCCACGAGACGTTCTCGCCAGGCCGCGATCGGACGGTGACCTTCGGGGCGGAGGCGGGGCGAAGAAAAATCGGGCAACCCCCAAAATGGGGCAAGCCCTGGCAAATGGAAGCATGGACTAATATTAATATCTGAGGTCCAATTCCTGGTGGTGTAATATTGACACACCCATTGGCTTCAGACAATTCTGTGGTTTTTCCCCTGTTGGTTTTACTTCCATTTGCTTAAGAATTTGTTCTTATGTTCTCTTGTTGGTTTTAAAACGAATTTATCACTACTGGAAATATGTTTACATAATATTTTCTGGGTTAGACTTAGGATGCATACATTTTACCAGTGACTGAAAGGGAAGCAAACAATAGAATATACATTCTATAACTGGGCCTAAGTCTAACCATGCTTAGTGATTTGTTCCCCCGTTGGTTTGAAAGGGATTCTATCAAACTACCGGATATATATATATATATATGTATATATTTTAACGCCTCCGGCTCAGGCCGCCGACATTACAGGCCTGCTTTCTTATTTGCGTCCCTTTGGAATTGTCCCCTTGCCCCCTTCCCCTCTGAGATTTTTGCCCCCCTTTCTTTGTTGAGATCCATTCCCCCTTTCCGCCCTAAGGCCTTTTCTCCCTCTGTTTTTTTCCCTTTTCCTCCCTAAGATGTTTTCACCCCTCTCCCTGTTGAGATCCTTTCCCCCCTTTCCCCCCTAAGGCCTTTTCCCCCCTGAGATCTTCTCCCTTTTCTCCCTTTCCCCCACTTTCCCCCCTACGGCCTTTTCCTCCCTGGGATCTTTTTCCTTTCCTCCCTGAGATCTTTCCCCCCCTTTCCCTGTTGAGATCCTTTCCCCCCTTTCCCCCCTACGGCCTTTCCCCCCGCTGAGATCTTCTCCCTATTCCTCCTTAAGATCCTTTGCCCCCTTTCCCTGTTGAGATCCTTTCCCCCCTTCCCTTTAAGGCCTTTCCAGATCTTCTCCCTTTTCCTTCCTAAGATTGTTTCCCCCCTTTCCCTGTTGAGATCCTTCCCACCCTTTCCCCCCTCAGGCCTTTCCCCCCCCTGAGAGCTTCTCCCTTTTCCTTCCTTAGATCTTTCCCCCCTTTCCCTGTTGGCCTTTTTTCCCCCAGATCTTCTCCCTTTCCTCCCTAAGATCTTTTCCACCCCTTTCCCTGTTGAGATCATTTCTCCCCTTTCCCCCCTACGGCCTTTGCCCCCAGATCTTCTCCCTTTCCTCCCTAAGATCTTTCCCCCCCTTTCCCTGCTCAGATCCTTTCCCCCCTTTCCCCCCTAAGGCCTTTCCCCCCCTGAGATCTTCTCCCTTTTCCTCCCTAAGATCTTTTGCCACCTTTCCCTGTTGAGATCCATTCCCCCTTTCCCCCCTAAGGCCCTTTCTCCCTCTGAGTTTTTCCCTTTTCCTCCCTACGATGTTTTCCCCCCTCTCCCTGTTGAGATCCTTTCCCTCCTTTCCCCCCTAAGGCCTTTTTTCCCCCCGCGATCTTCCCCCTTTTCCTTCCTAAGATCTTTTCCCCCCTTTCCTTGTTGAGATCCTTTCCCGCCCTTTCCCCCCTAAGGCGTTTTCCCCCCCAAGATCTTCTCCCTTTTCCTTTCTAAGATCCTTTGCCCCCTTTCCCTGTTGAGGTCCTTTCCCCTCTTTCCCCCCTAAGGCCTTTCCACCCCTGAGATCTTCTCCCTTGTCCTCCCCAAGATCTTTTCCCTTGGTTGAGATCCTTTCCCCCTTTCCCCCCAAGATCTTCTCCCTTTTCCTCCCTAGGATCCTCTCCCACCTTTCCCTGTTGAGCTCCTTTCCCCCTTTTCCCCCTAAGGCCTTTTCAGATCTTCTCCCTTTTCCTCCCGAAGATCCTTTGCCCCCTTTCCCTGTTGAGATCCTTTCCCCCTTTCCCCCCTAAGGCCTTTTCCCTGCCTGGGATCTTCTCCCTTTCCTCACTGAGATCTTTCCCCCCCTTTCCCTGTTGAGATCCTTTCCCTCCTTTCCTTCCTAAGGCCTTTCCCCCCGCTGAGATCTTCTCCCTACTCCTCCTTAAGATCCTTTGCCTCCTTTCCCCGTTGAGATCCTTTCCCTTCTTCCCTTTAAGGCCTTTCCAGATCTTTTCCCTTTTCCTTCCTAAGATTGTTTCCCCCCTGTCCCTGTTGAGATTCTTCCCACCCTTTCCCGCCTAAGGCCTTTCCCCCCTGAGAGCTTCTCCCTTTTCCTTCCTTAGATCTTTCCCCCCTTTTCCTGTTGGCCTTTTTTCCTCCAGATCTTCTCCCTTTCCTCCCTAAGATCTTTTCCACCCCTTCCCTGTTGAGATCATTTCTCCCCTTTCCCCTCTAAGGCCTTTGTCCCCAGATCTTCTCCCTTTCCTCCCTAAGATCTTTCCCCCCCCCTTTCCCTGCTGAGATCCCTTTCCCCCTTTCCCCCCTAAGGCCTTTCCCCCCCCTGAGAGCTTCTCCCTTTTCCTTCCGAAGATCTTTTCCCCCCTTTCCCTGTTAGGCTTTCCCCCCTAAGTCCTTTTCTCCCAGATCGTCTCCCTTTCCTCCCTAAGATCTTCCCCCCCCCTTTCCTCCTTAAGATCTTTCCCACCCTTTCCCTGTTGAGATCCTTTCCCCCCTTTCCCTCCCAAGGCCTTCCCCCCCCCCCTGAGAGCTTCTCCCTGTTCCTTCCTAAGATCTTTTCCCCCCTTTCCCTGTTGGGCTTTCCCCCCTAAGTCCTTTTCTCCCAGATCTTCTCCCTTTCCTCCCTAAGATCTTCCCCCCCCTTTCCTTCCTAAGATTGTTTCCCCCTTTCCCTGTTGAGATCCTTCCCACCCTTTCCCCCTGAGGCCTTTCCCCCCTGAGAGCTTCTCCTTCCTTAGATCTTTCCCCCCTGTCCCTGTTGGCCTTTTTTCCCCCAGATCTTCTCCCTTTCCTCCCTAAGATCTTTTCCACCCCTTTCCCTGTTGAGATCATTTCTCCCCTTTCCCCCCTAAGGCCTTTGCCCCCAGATCTTCTCCCTTTCCTCCCTAAGATCTTTCCCCCCCTTTCCCTGCTCAGATCCTTTCCCCCCTTTCCCCCCTAAGGCCTTTCCCCCCCTGAGATCTTCTCCCTTTTCCTCCCTAAGATCTGTTCCCCCCTTTCCTTGTTGAGATCCTTTCCCGCCCTTTCCCCCCTAAGGCGTTTTCCCCCCCCCCCCCAAGATCTTCTCCCTTTTCCTTTCTAAGATCCTTTGCCCCCTTTCCCTGTTGAGGTCCTTTCCCCTCTTTCCCCCCTAAGGCATTTCCACCCCTGAGATCTTCTCCCTTGTCCTCCCCAAGATCTTTTCTCTTGGTTGAGATCCTTCCCCCCTTTCCCCCCAAGATCTTCTCCCTTTTCCTCTTTAGGATCCTCTCCCACCTTTCCCTGTTGAGCTCCTTTCCCCCTTTTCCCCCTAAGGCCCTTTCAGATCTTCTCCCTTTTCCTCCCGAAGATCCTTTGCCCCCTTTCCCTTTCCCCCCTAAGGCCTTTTCCTTGCCTGGGATCTTCTCCCTTTCCTCACTGAGATCTTTCCCCCCCTTTCCCTGTTGAGATCCTTTCCCTCCTTTCCTTCCTAAGGCCTTTCCCCCCGCTGAGATCTTCTCCCTACTCCTCCTTAAGATCCTTTGCCTCCTTTCCCCGTTGAGATCCTTTCCCTTCTTCCCTTTAAGGCCTTTCCAGATCTTTTCCCTTTTCCTTCCTAAGATTGTTTCCCCCCTGTCCCTGTTGAGATCCTTCCCACCCTTTCCCGCCTAAGGCCTTTCCCCCCTGAGAGCTTCTCCCTTTTCCTTCCTTAGATCTTTCCCCCCTTTCCCTGTTGGCCTTTTTTCCCCCAGATCTTCTCCCTTTCCTCCCTAAGATCTTGTTAAAACCCTCTAGGCCCCGTGCCGAAATTGGGTAGCTGTTCTGAGGTCCTTGTTGGTGTTGCTTCCCAAGTTCCATTGATAGCCATTTTGGCTCAAGACACAATTGAGGTTCAAGATCTGATGTGTGACTGCATACATACGTGATCGGCATTGAGAGCGAAAACACTTTGCTTGCGCTGCATTTGTCAGGACCACTGTTGTAACTATCATTCCTTCTCCCTTACAACGTTTACACGGGTTCGGCTATAACGGCATCGTCCGTATACACCTTTCTACGTGGTTGGTATTACAGCTTGAGGGTTCGGTGCATAGCGTCCCACGGGACGTCACCTTGCCGTCTCTTGACAGGTTATCAGCCGTAACTACAAGCTCTACACTGGACTGGGAGACAGCTGGTTTATTGCGGGTACAGGGACAATAAAGGAACGATAACCTACACAGTACAATGGCGTCTTCGGCGAGCCCAAGTACTGCAACTTTTGGGAACAGCAGCTCAGAGGGATCCAATGGATTGATGGCTCTTCCTGCGGTGATGGATATGGTTGCAGATTCACAGGATGAACCTGGGAGCGGAGGTTCCGCGCTATTCAGCGACATATCTACTCCCACAAGATCATGGAAGCAGATCGATGTTCATCAGGAGTCGAAGAAAAGAGAATCCCCACCGAGAAGATCATCATCTTCGCCTGCGACACCACGGACGTCGCAGAAGGGCGTGAGATCGACATCGAAGGGTGGGAGGTCAAAATCACCCACCAGTGCAGATTTTCGCGCCGTGATCAAAGAGAAGAATAAGATGGAGGTGGAGATCGGGGAATATCAGAAGACACTTGATGAAATGTCGGCAGCAATGGCGAATCTTAACCAAGAAGACTATGGAAGCACCATCCGGATCCAGGAGCTGGAAAGACGATGCGAGATTGCCAGCAAGCAGTCGGGACATCTAGTGAGTCACCACCAACACCACATGGCTGAGGCATGGCGCAAGTTTGAGGAAGAAGCCCAACAGATGCGCAAGGTGGAAATGAACGCATTTCAGTACGGGGAGAAGAAAGACATGGAGTCGAATATTATAATGCAACAGATGAGGCAAGCTGAAGGAACTATCATGGAGCAGAAGCGGGAGATTGCATTGATGAAATCCTACATGGCAAGCGAGAAGTCGGCCGCGCAGGAATCAGCTATACGTGCAAATCAGATACAC